ACTCAAATAAAATAACAAATAACTTAGGTATTCTTTCTTGCTTTGTTTGTTTGTTAAGGCTTATATAACTTGATAACTTAAAGGGTAATTGAATGGTTAAAAACTGTGCCTCGACGGCGTCTTTCTAACAGGTTGCCCATCACTGTCACTTTAGAGGAGGCGCCATGGGAATTGTAGTCTTTTATACTCTGGTTGACTACAGGCGTCACGATTAGGTGGCCTTTTTATAAAAACAAAATACTGCCTCTAACACTGCATTTAAATGAAGGCAGTCTTCTGTCCATTTGGAGTGAACAGGAAACACAATTCTGTGTATCTAATCTCAGTGACACTATTAATATACTTTGTCATGACTTTCTGCTGGCTTTTGTACAAATCAGAATATTTGCAGAGATCTAACCTCTTGTTTTGTTCTCCATCAGGCTCATTTGTGGCCTCACAGAGCGTCTTTCCTCCGCTGTCAGTTTCTCGTCTCCCTCCAGTGTTCACTTCTATGAACTACGCCTCATGTTCCTCATGACTGCTCTGAGGCGGGAGCTCAGCACTCAGCTCCAAAAGGTAACAAGCACACAAAATGTTATTTATAATGTACATTAGACACAAAAAGCTTAAAACAGACATAGAAATGATACACCTGACCATTAAGAGAAGGTGGAATGAAACGTTAAAAATAATTAGGATCAGCAAGCAAAAAGTAAGAAATAATAAGACGTGAAAAAAATAAAATAATAATTAAGTACGGTTATGATTTTTAAACAGTTGACAAGAAATTAGTAAAACCCAATAAAAAAGCAGAATCAAATACAAAACACTTAAAATAAGTAAGAATACAATCAAATAATAATTAAGAAAGTAACCAGACTACTCTTGGGCGCTGCTAAAAAGTGATCTTTTCAGTTTAATTTCAAAGGGCAATAGCGTGTAGTCGATGTGCCTTGGAGCATATAAGCTAAGGTAGTTTAACCAGTACCTCACTTATTACGAAGTTACCGTACTAAATGTGTAGAATGGTAACTGTTATGGTAGTTTTAATATGTGGTATATCATGTAACAACCTCTGGGGTCCTTCCACCATCAGTTTATTCTAGTATTGCTATAAACAGGTTGAAGTGTTACCCCTCTGAGCGTTATCTCCCGATGTTGCTCTGCAGGAGGGAGGTGTGTCCATCTTCACAGCCGCTCTGGAGAGCTGCCTGAAGGTCCAGTGGAAGGAGCAGTATGAGTGTGTGCTGGACCCCGCAGCACCACCCATCTCTCTGGAGGCCTCTCAGCGAATCATAGAGATCCTCAAAATCCTCTTCAACATCACCCACAGCGCCCACAGGCAGGAGCCGAGTGAGGTCAGTGCCAAGAGTCCATTATCAATCCATTAGGTGTAATGGTGGGTTAGGACAATACATATAACCTCTGTACTGTGTGTTCCTCCTCCTTCAGGATGATGCAGCTCTTTACCGTCATCTGGTGGCGATCCTGCGTCTCTGCCTGATGAAGGAGTGTTTGCTTTCAGACGACACTGATGAGCTGCAGGGGTGAGCATGAACCAAAGGTGGTTTATGGAAAATGAAATTGCAATGAAAATAATCATCATTAATCATTATTTATAACAACAAAACTGATGCATTTAGTAATAATAAGTTGCAGGTTTCCAATTTGTATTTCATTAAATACTTTCATGCACATTTTTTTTCATTACCTCCCAGTTTAACTTTTATTATAGTTCAAATGAGCTTCAATGGTATAAATGGCCAGGTCTAAATGACATGGATACTATGGTTTATAGTCATGTACCTAATCTTTAGTGTTACATTCTCTCTGACAAATTTGTTTTGAAAACAGTTCTTTCATAAAAAAACTGCCAAGCTGAACCGGCTGCTTTGCCTTTGCGCTCAATTTTATAAATGTTTGCAGTCTGTTCTTTAAATCTCGTCTCCCTCCCACAGTCACACGGTGAACCTGCTGTCCGCGCTGCCTCTCCAGTGTCTGGATGTGATGCTGACGGTGCCTCTGGAGCCAGACTCCATGCAGTGCCAGGGGGTCAACATGGACTGTGTTCAGACCCTGCTGATGTTCATGGAGAAACGCCTGGAGCTGGTGAGGGAGGAAGTCATACAATTACGTTTTTGTGCCTAAAAAAGTTAACATTTTCATTTCATTTTTATTTGTTCCATTGAAGGTATGCACAACTTAATTTATAACAATTATTTACAAAACATGTCCTCGAAAACACACCATACCCGAAAAGGAGCAGGGAGAAGAAAATAATCATATAATCCCTTTCTCAAAAAAAAAAATAGAAATAGATGGTCTGTCCTTCATATTTTCTTATTCACAGCCAATCATAACAGTATCGTAGGAAAATAAGAGGAACACAAAAACGTACAAAAAAAATCCGTCGTTCCCACTTGACAGTTAACGGAAAGAAACAAAACAACAACACCAAAACATCACATGAACAAGGAAGAGTGCAACACTCTTCTGAGTAAGACTGAAATAACCTGAGGTCTTCTTTATTTTTTGCTTCTCAGGGTAATAAGCTGAAAGAGAAGGTGACCCCGGTCCTCAATCTGCTGACAGAGTGCTGCAGAGCCCACAGAGAAACCCGCCATTACATCAGGAAACATGTAATACCCCCCAGAAACACCATACCTCAGAGAAAGCATTGTGCTTCTCACACTTAAACGATGTTGTATCCTCTTCATTAGATCCTTCCTCCTCTGAGGGACGCGTCACACAGGCCGGAGGAAGGCTCCACGGTGAAGAGTCGTCTGATCCGCCTCATGACCAACCTGGACACAGACCTCAAACACTGCGCTGCTGACCTCATCTTTGTCCTCTGCAAGGAAAATGGTAAGACGACACATTATTATTCCTCATATTTTCCCATTTTGGGCTCTCCACTATAGAATTTAAAACACGTGTCAGTGCTTTTAAGCACAACATGCATCAGAGACCCTTGGAAAAGTGGGTCAGTCTTTCTCAGAAGTCTGTTTCTTATTTAAAGTACATTTTTGAAACTATTAATGTTTTGTTTTTTTGCAATTTAAATCTTTATGGTCACAATATACATGGTATTAACATGCTGGTTACCACAACATAATAATAATTTTACAAAAGGCCAGCAAGGCATTACAACATTTAAAATGAAATAAAAGGCTAGGGATATGCCTTCATGTTATTATATTCTTGATATATGTATCTATTAGCTATTGTTCCAGTCAAATGTCTTTGTTTTGAGTCTTGTATAGAGTCCATTTTTCCCACTTTCTGTTGAGTTGTGTTTCTTGTAATCTCAATTTATTTGTCAGTTTTTCCATCAAAAAGATTTCTTCCACAACTGTTAACCATTGGTTTTTCGTTGGTGGTCCTTCCTTACCCCAATTCCTAGTGATAGCTTTCTTGCTGGATATTAGCAGAATTTTGATCAGATATCTGTCACAAACTATTAATGGTTTATCACCACCTTCACATCTTCTTCCAGTGGGCCGCTTTGTGAAGTACACAGGTTATGGTAACGCAGCGGGTCTCCTGGCCACCAGGGGTCTGCTGGGGGGCCAGAGCTCCAGGACCCTCAGCTCTTACGCCCAGTACTCCAGTGACTCGGACTCAGACACTGAGGAGTACCGGCAGGTCAAAGATCGCATCAACCTGGTGACAGGAAGGGTGGAGGAGGAGCAGCCCGACCCCATGGAGGGCATGACGGAGGAGGAGAAGGAGGAGGAGGCCAAGAGGCTCTTCATGCTTTTCAACAAGCTGTCTAGGTCAGTTTCAACAACCGTAGTAACATCAAACGAAATCAATAAGAATAATGTAAATACTGATTTTTAAATGTGAATGAGTTTTTCATCCCTCATTGGCAGAGGTGGGAAGTAGTGGAGTACAAATACTTTGTTACTGTAATTAAGTACATTTATCTGGTATACTTTACTCTACTAATTATTTTTCTGACGACTTTTGACTTTTACTTCTTACATTTTGAACACAAATACCTGTACTTTTTACATTTTCAAAACAGGCTGGTTACTTTAGTTTTAATCTGTACTTGGTGGCGTGATCATTATTATTTAGAGTCATTGCGTGCCTATTGATTTGAACACGATCCGTGTATCCATCACTTGCTGGTCTTCTCTAAAGAAGAGGGACCAATGAAAACGTTGTCATGTTGCCGTTGTTCAGCATGGAAACATTCATTAGCTAACAATGACATTATTGTTCTATTAATATAAAGGGAGGTCAGGTACTCTTTAAAACAGTTGGTAGTTATGGGAACTTTTTACTTAAGTACAATTCGAAGCCCATACTTCTTTACTTTTACTTGAGTAAATAAGTTTAGTCAGTACTTCTACTTTTACCAGAGTATTTTTAAACACAAGTATCTGTACTTCTACTTGAGTAAAGGATGTGTGTACTTTTGCCATCTCTCCTCATTTGTTCCACAGAGAAGACATTATCCAGCCGATGGGAGTGGACTCAGAGGGGAAGCTGGTCCCCATGTTTGGAATGAGAGATCTTTCCCTCCCGGAGGAGAGGAAGTCTGGCTCAGAGAGTGATGGAGAAGCAGAGGAAGGAGAGAAAAACTAAAACCCCCATTTGTTTAATTTATACATTTATTTTGTAAAAGTCCTATTGCTAAAATTGACAATGCTTGGAAACAAAGGAATGTAGTTTTCTCACCCAGACCCAGCAAGCATCCGTCAAATGAAAGGACCCAAGATAGGATGTAAAAAGCTTTTTTTCTTTATATTCATAATAATAATATAAAGCAGCAGAAAGGTCACATTGGTTTAGGTTAAGTTTACAGTAGGTTTTTAAGGAGTGAATTTCATTGTTAACATGATTATATTCTAATATTTTAATAAAGTCTTGAACGTGCATTATGTTTATTTTCAAGATTTGACTGTTAAATCAAATTATACCCCAAACAGTGAGATTCAAGGCAAAGATTGTACTAATGTATTTAAGCAGAGACAGATTACTTTAAAAAGAGCAGAATATACAATGAGTGAAAAGCCTGTTTAAGAGCATTTATTTATCTCAGTTTCTTTGCATCAGAGAGCAGCACATTATGGAAGAGGTGGTTTAAATTCCCAGAAACACTAACAGCAAAAATAAGTATAAAATATCCAATCAGAACTCTGTGATAAGAGCCTGATTATTATATGTAAAGCACATATTTATAGTAAAAACAACAACAGAGCAATTATTTACACCACTATTTTACCTGATCTATTAGTAAAACGAAAATGCGTAAAACGAAATGCTCGTAAAATATGTAAACATTATTATTTCTGAGATGTTCTCGGCAAGGTAAAGGACACAAAAAGGGTAAACAATGAGCAAAGTGCGTCAGCACTGGTCCATCATCTCCTCCAGAGACATCTGCAGCTCCACAGACTGCAGCGAGGAGGCGCCGCCTACAACAGCCATATTTTTCAGCTGCTCCATCGAAGTCAGGACCACCTGACACAGAAAAACAGAAGTCAAATTAGGGATGAAAGTCAGGAAGGCATATTTCAGCTTGTCAGAAGCCATGCAATTTGAGAAAGATGGAGATGGGGTAATGAGACGTGTCAAGCTGCAAAGGAACTTTTTGTATGAGCTTCTCATTTCCCAGCATGCATTCCTCTGTTGTGGTTGAAGAGCAGACACACCTTTACACCTGAGGGATCAGCTGTCACCTCCAGTATGCAGCCTTTGTTCTCTCAGAGCTATTAATCAATACTGAGAAAGAATTGCCTCTTGAAAGCCGCCGCTCACTACAGCTCTCTAGAGTGAGCAATTTAGTGGGTTTGATCACTCATGAAATTTGATAGAGGTATGTGCGGCGAGAGAGAAAACCGTTCACTGCCAAACTGAAATACTGCTTTGAGGTCTGTGAGAGCACAACACTGTCTGTGCCCTTTAATAATTCAAAGGTACTCTCACCTCCACTGTGATGAGTTTCTTATCCCAAGGCCTGTTGTCTTTATCCGGCCACTTCTCCCCGAGGCAGAAGAACAGGGAGCTGGGAGGGGATTCCTTCCCATTTATGAAGTCCAATATACCTAGTAAAAGACAAAGTCAACTTTAATGTCAATCTTTCAGTTTGTGTGTACAGACAGAGAGATCGAAATACCATTTCCCACAATCCTGAGGAATACAAAATATAAATATATATAAAAGTATGTACAGATACAAATATGTATATACATAAATATACACAATCAACGGAGACATTTGCACATCAGAATCAGAAACAGGTTTATTACCAGGTAAGTTTACACGTACGAGGAATTTGACTTGGTGTCGTGGTGCATGTAAACAAGAATTAAAAACACATGTAGAGAACTAGAAAAATATAAAAAATATAGTAAAATATAACAGTATTTACATTTCAATGGAGTGGAATAAGAAGGAATAAAATATGGAATAAAACTCGGCCTATGCACACATTAAAGACATAAATAAAAGCACAACAATCAACATATACAAAATAAAAGTAACTTCAAAAACTGTGAAAAATGACTATTGATCACTACACCAACATGAAAGATACACCACATTTTCACAAGTACACTTACAAAAAGCCGTTATAGTTATTGCTTTCACCCACCTTGGATAAATTCCTTGAACATGTACAGTGGTTGAGGCTGCAGTTTAGAAATCTCTTGCGGCTGTCTGCTCTCGTCAAATTTGGAGCGGCTCCAAAATGCTTTGATTTCACCCCGCCGCTGGCCGTAGACCACACTGCCCGACTCTCCGACGTCCAAACCCTCGCCCAGCTTGTCCAGGATGCGCTGGGTCAGGTTGGCCTGGGTTTGATCCAGCATGGCTCCAGGACTTGGCAGAGAGACGAGCGACAGGCCGGACTCGGGATCCAAAACTGTCCCTGTGAGTTGAGGCCTGATGAAAAGACAACTCATTCAATTTTAAATTGAACTGCAGGTAATTTGCCTTTGATTTATTACAGAGAGTTAGATGGGATTGATGCCACTTTCATATCAGTAAAGCATTAATTTAGCTGCAGCCATGACTGTAAACTAGCTTAGCATAAAGAATGAAAACGGGAAAAAAGTAAACCTGTTCTTTTTTACACTTCGGATTTATACAACCTGGTTAGCAGTTTGGCCAAAAATATTTGTCTTATGTCATAAAAATGCCGTTGTTTAGTATCTAAAAAACGTTTTTAATATAGTATCTTAAAACAATAAAATTATGAGTGTCTACATTAAGAATATGTATTTGCTGAAGTGCCAAAAATAAAAAAAATAAAAAGTGGAAGAACTGTGCAGCTTTAGAAGTGGTAGTATTTTGCAAAACTGTAAACAAGTGGTATAATAACCTAATCTACTACTCTTAGCAAGAAAGTGAATATTGTGTTGTTCCCAAACTAACAACTTTCACTCTAACTGTGAGAGTACATTTTTAAACTTGGGACATTGTACATTTTGTTTCCTTTGATGAAAGCTTTATTTGGGTGTTACCTGTAGACCAAGCGGATTCCAACTTCATTGTCAACCAGCTGCTCCAACACCTTCACCCCTCTGTAGTACACGGATATCCTGAAATGTGTCTCTGTGGATTCAGAAAGCAGAGAAGTGTATGAGAAAAGGCATGTTTATAGACCACATTGTTTTGATGGCCTTAATCAGATTCAGAACAATGTATTCATCCCCGGGGGAAATTGGGTTTTGTAGCAGTTGCTCCATTTTAGAATAAAATAAAAATGTGCACATTGTACTAAAATATAAGAACAATGTAGAAATGTGTATATGACAAACTATAAAGTGGTGTACTAGTATTACGAAAGATATGAATTCTGAAAACAGATCATTGCTTGTGTACAGTGTAAACAGTAATAATCCCAAGTGATATGAGTATTGCACAGTTGAATAATAATGGCACAGGTCAGGGTATTCTATGTTAATATTTTAGACATCTGTGTGTCCATTGCCTTTCTTTCAGTCATGTTTATCCACTTACTGAAATGTTCTCCATCTCTGGTGTTGTTCACAGAATGTTTGAAATGCTCAGCAAACTGCTCGTCATAAGCCCCGCCTACAGCTCCCTCTATTGGTCCTGCCGGTTGCTCAGGCAACCCAGCTTCACCCTCATACATCGCTGGAAACTGCTGTTGCCCAGGCAACGCATGTCCACCAATCACAGCCGGGTTCTGGAGCTGCTGTTGCTCAGGAGGAAGCTCAAAGCCTGCAGTGCCCTCTGTGGAAAAGTTGGAGAAACTGAGAAAGTGTTTCCAGGAAAGTACCTTCAGTCTGCAGCGATGATGAGGAGGAAATGATGAGAAGAGCTAGTCTACCTGTGTCCGGGCCAATGTTCAGTCCCATCAGACACTCCTGCAGAATATCATGATGGCTGGGGTGTTCTGCTGGTGAAAATTGGTTCTTAGGAAATGTTCAGAAAAGTAATTCCATGTTCTTAGCTTTCAAATTAATCAACATTTCTGGAATTCTCTTACCTGCAAACACAGTGTCTTCTGGAAGATAGAGATAGTCTTCGAAGTTTGGGACGACCTGGCTCTAAAATATCACAGATACACAAGTGTTTACATGCAATCGTAAAATTATACAGCATTTGTGATTTACTTCCCGTGTTTCTACAAACCCCCAGTCATTTACCTCTTGTGTAGGAAGGGGAAAATATTCAGACAAATCGGGATCATCTTGTTCCTGGGATCCAGCAGCAGAGTTAGCTTTGAGAGTAAAAGCAAAGAGCTTAGTTAACCTTTCTAATTATTTATTCTCCTCAGAACACATCTTTAATCCTATAATCCACTTCACGGATGGTAATGATTCTGTATTTGCATATTACCCTCACAGATCTCAACCACAGAAATGTAAATCAGGACATAATTGTATGCAACAACGTCTAGAAGGGCTGTCTGACAGAGATTCAAATAAATACCATAGCGAACAGTTAACTGAGAACCTTATTAAAAGTGATTTGTTCACAGTATTACTGTGACATTGCTGAGCGCCGATAAACCTCTCTTCCTTCAAACTTCGGGCTTTCAGTCCGCCATCTACTCTAGGTTATACACTGACTATGGATTTTTGCCAGGTGCCAGTACACACAATATTGTTTTGTAAGTAGTTTAGTACAGTACAGTCCTTTTTTAGCTGGCCTGTTATCTAGTACAATTAAGTACCAAATGTTGACAGTCTACAGCCGGCTCTGTGGATCCTCACCTCCTGAAGCTGACACCTGCGGCCAGCGAAACACTTTGTGGGGGTTAGCGCCGTCGTTCTTATTGTCTGAGATCAGCTTGAAGCCTTTTGCTCGGAGGGCGCTGCGGAAGTTCCTCTTCCAGACTGAATGGTCTCCGGGAGCTCGGCCATTGCCACTCGTCTCTGCCCAGGCCTACAGCGGGGACACGGGTTAAAACACAGCACCGGCTACCTGTTTCTCTCAGAATAGTTACAACAAATATTTTACTTGTTTTTACAGTTTTAAATGGTTTAAAGTTGATCCCTTTACCTGATTTTGTTTAAACCATAGGCTTATTGCGACTCGTGTTTTTCAACATCATCATGATTATTGTGTGTGACATTACCTTAAAGATGAGGATGTCCGTGTTGGAGGAGTCCTGTCTTAAAGCGTGTTTCCATGGGACGGAGAACTCTGTTTCTTCCGGGTTGGTCCACTGGACACCGTCATACTGGCCGCTGTTAATCTTGGTCCGCAGCCACGGTATAAGCAGCGGTTTAGACATTTCTGCAGGAGAAACAAAAAGTTAAGTTTATACTATTCAAATCGTACATACCAAATCAGTGTTGTAGCTATGCACTATCCAGAGTAGCTTGCACCAAACAGTGAACATCTACACAATGTATATGGAATAATTGTTCACATGCTTTATTTCAAAATGAAAGGATCTGAGAGGATTCATTTATAATCACCATCATTATTCATATGTTTTTATAGCTTTACACAAAAGTCAAACGTAAAAAAAAAGTATGATTTTAACCTGTAGAAGGCACTATTTAGTAACTTTAAAACCGATGCATGCATACATCACCAAATAGTACTATATGTAGTAAAAAAATGTTTATATAAAAAACAAACCTATTTTACATTTGCATGTTCAAAAACTGTTAGCTAAAAAATGTTAGTCGTGTATTTTTTTGAAAACGTATTATTTCCATTGTACCTTGTGTTGTTGACTTATCATCATAACTTATTAAACGTAATTATCACAGAGTATATGATTATCCACTTCCTTAATATTAGATTGTGATGCACTCAAAGACTATGGTGCAGCTGGAAAACTCTCCCTAAATTGGCAATTTCTGTATTGCAAGAAAGAGGAAGCAGGCCAATATTACGCCAGCTGTGTGAACACGCAATACCAAAAATATTCTGATAGGGTAAAAATAAATAAATAACTAGATTTCTTTTTTAAATACTCAAAAATACTAACTTATTACAGTAAATATTTAAGAAGGAAGAGTGAAACTAACTATATCTGAACAAATATATACTTTACGAATAGCCACATAGCCTACTAGTATAATACTATAATATTAGTGTACATGTATTTCATGTTTGGAATGGTTCGACTTCGTTTAGAGTAAAAATTAACAAGGCTAAACATATCTACAGGTATGTAGTATTATACAATATTTCAATGACCGTGTGTAACAATGCAGAGCTACACAAACAACAGCTTAAGACGGAATGACTGAGTAACACATTCGTTCACTACAGATAATAACTAGACACTGACAGCAGTAATAAAACCGCTCCTACCTGCAGTGGCCTCAGCTGGTGTTGAGTTCAAGTGCAGTTGTATCTGCGTCAAAGGTCAGAAATATGATGCAAGACAATGTCTGTAACTAAGACTTAAAGGCGAGTCAATCAATCCCAGCCCATACATTCCTAGAGTATCGCGACTGCTTTCTCTCTGTTTTAAAGAGGTTGATCGGTGTTCTCGGGAAACTCCGAATCGTCAGTTTCGTTTCCCAGATGTGACGTCAGCGAGAGTTTCATATCAGCGGTCCCGCGAGGTGGGGATAAACCAAACCGGATAAACACACACACACATTTATATTGTCGTACTTGTGAGGACCATTTGTGGTATAAAGCACTTCCTAGCCCCTTACACCCTTAAAATGAGTTAAATACATGTTAAATGGTTCGATTTTTTTAAAGCACATTTGCTCTTCCAAATCAGTAACTGTGAATATGTAAAGAAAAACGTAGGGAGATGTAATTGTTGTACTATTTTCCACCAGATTAGCTTGCCATATAGCGCCAATAGTAATTTACAGGTTTGCTGAATATCAAATAATGCAGCAAAATCTACGTGGTTGATTTTATATCATTGACCCAGGCTGTGAAAAAACCATGATAAAAATGCAATAGTGCTCTCATGGAACCAGCATTTAAAAGGCTCAAACATCTTACATGAAATAAGATTTGGTATTTATCTTCAAGTCTGAAGTTGGTCCTGCTTGGTTGTGAAGTCCATTTGAAGGGAATCAGGTTCCCACTGTGTAGATTGCATAATTAACTATAGTCATCATGCAAATAGGACTTTTTTGACGTGAAGAAAAAAACGTTCCTCCATTAGCAGATGATGAAAAGACAGCTTTTCATGTAAGAAACAATAGTTAAAAACGTAACCCTCAGAAACAGAGCGTGGTAGTCAAAATGTCCTCACAAAGATGGATGTAAAGGAACACACACACTGTGGGGAAATGAAACAGTTTGTTCTTTGCAGATTTTATTTGTTTCTCAAATACAGGAGAGTTAATGTACAGAAGGACAAAGAATTTCATCAAGAACTGTACAATATTTACACGCCTTTTTTTTCCTTTTTTTATGGAAAATTAGATTGTTTTCAAAATAAGTCATAGTATGCACAAACATCAAAATGATAAAAATGAAATGACTATTTCCTCTTTAAATATTACTTATTTATACTCCTTCTTCCCACATGGGAAATGGATAGTTTACTTCTTTTTCTTTGCACCTGCATGACTGATGATGATTGAACTGAAGCACAACAATGTTAAGTTTCAAATAAAGTTTCCCCGTTATCTTTTTTTCTTACTTTTTTTTCCTCATTATTTTACACCCACTGTATTTGATACAATATTTCTGTCTCGACGTCTGTTTCTTTTGTATAGAGGGGAAGACGGCTCGGATATGTGGGTTACTGACTGTATACTGATTCTGTGGAAAATAAAAAGGTTTTTAAAATGTTAGGGCAGCAACCCAGCGCTTGTGAGAGTTTAAGTTAAAAACCTCCTCATATAAATAATAAAAATGTGTTTATATATTATCACACAGCTGACTGGGGCCGCCCTTCACGTAGATGAGAGAGAGAGAGCGAGAGCGTTTATTAACACATTTCATGTTTCCATTCGCGGACGAGTCTCATGTTCACGCTGCTCCCGGCAAACTCTGCACGCAGTTTAAAAAGCCTTCTCACCCGCTTCCACTCTCTTCAAAAGCCAACAGCTGATGTTAGTCTTCAAAAAAATAATTTATGTAAAAACTAAGTGGTAATAGTTTCTCTTTGAACTATTGTCTTCATGACACAAAGTTAACATCTCAGTGGCTCCTCCGGTGACTTGGCGTTTCTGCTCCTCTTCGCGGCGCTCCCTTTTTTAAGCAATTCCCTCTCGACCCCGCCGGTGACCTTTAATCCGACGGGGTCCCGCCTTCTCACCAAGTAAGACATCTCTTTAGTCAGTGATCAACAACAAGATAAAAGAACAGAGGCCAGTGTCCGAGGTCACATGAACAGACCCATTGTGTCCGTCGAGGGTTCTTAAAAATTCATCCTCGCATCTTAGAGATTTGAAGAGGGAGGGGGGGCTGTACAGTGGGATCCATCTCTTCTCGTATCTTCATTTAGTTTTTTTTTTTTAATCCATTCTGTCTCTCTCTTTGTGAGGACTCAGGCTTTGGTGCTGAGCGTGAGCAGCTCGATGAAGGAGCTGAAGAGGGAGTCCAGCCAGCTCTGGTTGGCCATGCACTGCTGCACCACCTCCTCCTGGCCGGGGTCCTCCGTCGCCTGCTCGATGCTGTTGGTCTGTGAGGGGGGGGGGAGACACAGTCAGTGGTGACGCCAAGACTCAGACCAGCGTCACAGAATAAACAGAGCCAGCTTGTATATGCTTTATTTTACACTTGTTTAAATAGATTTGCGCTTTTCATACAGTCTATTTTTGGTGAGAATGTACTAGTACATGTTTGTAGTAACAGCTCGATTCCAAAATGAGAAAACTATGTTGATAAACCGCTAACATGACCGGGGCTAGGGCTGAACGATATACCGTGTCATGGCGATAACCGCTATATGCGCTTTTTTTTATTTTTTTAGGACGTTCGATATTAAGTAGATAAATGAACTCAAACACGTCATGTTACAATTATTTTGCTGCTTGCTACAAAAGGAAAACTTGCGCTCTCTCATGTCAGGGGTACTTGAGAGGAGTGACATGCAGGCTCTGAGTGTGCATGCACAGCAAACAACTATTTCAGATGCCTTTGCCGGTGTTCCACCATATGAGAAAGGTTCAAGACGGCTTAAAGGAGCTGTTCTTAATTTTATTTTTATAATGTTGTTTAAAAGATGTCCACTACTTTGCTGCTATTTGCACAAAAAAGGTTTTAATTGTGGAATAAAAAGTGAAATGACCTATTTGGTCACGTATGTTAATTCCCTAATGGGATAATGAAGCTTCCTATAGTTGAATGTAATACGTTTAATCTCTTGGATCCCTTCTAGACACCACTCTTCTTCATTCACAGATGAACCCCCTTCTTTGAGGGTAAGCAACCTGCATTATCATGACATGTTACATCATGACTTAAGGTATGATGAGTCAACCAGTTAAGATCCAGACGTCCGTGACTAAAATCCTTCATCCGGTTAAATAAGTAAAAAAGCAATATATATCGCAGGGGAAAAGAATATCGCAATGTCAGTTTTTTTCAATATGGTGCAGCCCTAGGGCTAAACACAAATTATAGAGAGATTACCAATAGAAACAAATGATACGGTTATCACATTTGTATTGCCTTATATACACAATTATAATCATATTCTTCGTAGTAGTGGAAGTTCATTTTGAAGTTATTATTTATTCTGTGTAGCATTTTATTAATGAAATTAGAAATGAACTTGGATTCAAGATTTTGAATATAATCTTCAAAATATTCAAACCGTTAAGCTTTCTGCCAGTAATACAGTTAAAGTGATCTGAATAAACAACAGAGTGTGAATGCTATATTTAAAAAATAGCTTTTTTGAACATTAAAAGGGAACCTGTTTTATAGTAACGACTCCTCTATTCACAACTTTGAAATGTATGCTTGGTGCAACAAGTTCGAAGCATGGTGTTCCTTTTAACATTATGTTCTTATCTTTAATATGTGTATACAAATAGTTCAATGACCCGTGACGTTAACTATCCTTAGGTTGCAAGGAGCACCGTTTTGTTGAGCAGTAATTGGGAGAATGGAGACGTGGGATCAAATTCATGGAAAAGGGACGGCAGAATTGTTTGCAATTCATTCATCATCATCATTAGGAAATAACAATCCTACAGGAACATCTCTAAATAAACATTTTCTATATATTACTGATAATATCATTCAGTTGGAATTGCGTACGTCAGTGTAGGACGATGGTGGAAATACAATCAAACCCCAGTCTGAACAAAGCCTAACACCAACACTGGGGAAGCTGCTTGCTTACCTCTTTCTTGCACTGTAAGAAGGTGTGGTATTTATAGTGATGCAGGGAGTGGAAGAGACTGTAGATACGATGCGTCTCCCCTGACAGTTTAAGGTCCTAGAAAGAGAGAACAAAATGGAATCAGATAAAGATCTCTTATAAAACATTACGTAGGCAGAGAAGTAAAAAGCCACAGGGGAAAGTACTCTTTCAATTCCATGTAAGAACGAGTGAAAGTGGAGCCGGTCTAGAAACCCTCAGCAGGTGTTAAGAGGAAATGGGTACGGTTTAGCCTCCGAGTCCGTAGAGATAATAAATCTGAGCTTTTTACGGTAATACGTTTATTTGTATTGATGCTTTGGTTTCAGTGTCACCCAAACCAGAGACAAATAGTGTTCGTCCCTTTATCAGATTCTTTGAAAAACAATCTGTTAAAAAGACCCACAAACACTAACTATCCTCACACCTACCTGTGGTTTAGGCAGGGTCTTTTTGACTCTGTTGAGGGTCTTGCGGTTGTAAGCATCCCCGCTGAGCCGCACCCTCACCAGCCCCGAGTCCAGGGGGTCAACCAGGATTTGGGGGTACGCATGCAGGAACTCCTGTGAGGGGAGACAGAGATGTTTTTATACAGGGAGAAGTACAACTACATATTCTTTCAAAAGTGTGCCACATTGTGTTTATGATTAATTTAATAGATAGATTTATGATTTGAAAATGATAAAAGTAGTGTAGGGGTGGAGATTATCCGGCTGAACAAAACGTGCATTTATCAAACAGGTTTGTTTTCCACAGATCTTATTTTTTACAATATTCCAAAATCCTCTGGAGAAGTCAAATAGCTTTTTTGTCGAGGGAAGCCTTGCGCAGCTTACTTCCGGGTCGGCCTACAGAAATACGTCATCCCTGCACCACTCGATTACCAATGAATCTTAACAATGATTATTTAGTTTTTAACATTTCAGAACCCAAGTTGAAGTCAATATAAGATATTAAATGAAAAAATATCTGACAATCTGTTAAAATGATCATAAACGACCAAATTGATTAGCCGATTATCATGAAATCAACTTTTTCTTTGTTGACAAACCAGTTCATCCACTGCGTGTTTCGTTACTGCGATCCGAGGTATGAGTCACAGCAGAGTGCATCAGGACAGATTACCTGGTGCTGAGAGCTCATGCTGACTCTCCTCAACAACCGCCTCTTCTGTTCGCTGATGATGCTGTCGATCTTCCTCATCGGCGGGAGGTACAGCTCATCTGGGGGCCAATCAAGGAGAAGGAAGCGTCATTAGTCAACATTCAAGGCGCTGCCAATCACTTTAAAGACCAAGGGCAGATTCAAAGCAGCTCTTTCTGGCAGCATTCCCTTCAACCACCTTGTTCATTAAGACTTCCAAAAAGAGTCCTGTCAATTTGCTGCAGAGTTTGGGACATCTCTCCAGTTTGTCCAGCTGGATGGCTTGATCGGACACCTGGCAGCTGCTGCTCATCAGTGGTGGTTATTCAACCTGCCCAAACTACACACAGATACTTGAAAGGCATTTTGAGAAAAATATCCTCAAAAGGTCTCAATGTGGACATCTAATCTGTAGGAAACATACTCCCAGACTAGCATGCGTAGTTAGATAAGAAATAAGGAAGCACAATTACATCTAAAATAAGAAAATTGCAATAAGGACTGGTGCAATAACCAAATCGCGGTAGGAAACAATATTTGGTTAATGCAAAACATATGAAAATATCTTTCTGAATCCAGTACTTTGGTGCTGCAGAGAAGTCCCAGCCGGCAAACAGCATCTGACCGACTGAAAAACATTTGATGCAGATCTTTTTAAAATAACATCATTTTTAACATATTGTTTGTGAATAACTTTTCACAAATGATCATTCCTTCTGATATTGTGAATCAAATTGCAATATTAATCATAATGATCGCAATTAGTTATTTTTTTTCCAATTATTGCAGCCCTAGTAACACAAGAGGCTTCTTCCTCTATTTCCGTCTCCTGCATGTCAGTCCATTTTTTAAAGGAGGCTTTAATTGTAAACATGCTGAGGAGGCGCTTCTCACCGTCAGTGTCCTCCAGGGCTTGGATCATGTCGGGGTCCAGCGCCGTGCTGACCAGCATCTCCACGTAGCTCCTGAACATCTCCCTCATGGCCCGGTTGTTCACTCCGCCTTTCACTGGCACTGGGAGGAGGAGGAGGCCAGAGTTAAAACCAAAGCTCATACTGCGGCATGAAAAATGATTTTTTTTAAAAAGACGTCACGGCACTCACTTTCATTCTCGCTGGCCGCCTCCTCCGATGAGTCCGAGTCCGATGATGAAGGTATTTCCTTCAGCCACTTCTTCCTCTTCTTGGGCGGTGGCTCCGCCTTCACTTTAGTCGGCTTGGCCTTGGGAGGTCGCTCAGCCTTTTCTTTCTCTTTCCTCTCCACCACCTTCTTCTCCTCCTTCGCTCTTCCTCGTTCTGCCACTGCACGTTTCTCCACTTTGTCCTGCTGCGGCTGGACTCTCTTCTCCCTCTCCTTCTCGGGCTCCCTCTCTTTCTCCTTGGCTTTGGGCACAGCAGCCGGAGCCTCCTTTTTCTCCCGTAGCTCTTTTGCCGCCGTGGTCCGGGTTTTCTCCCTCTGTTCGCGCTGCACCGGCGGAGTCACCCTCTCCTCTTTCTCCACTTTGGGCGGCGCCTGGGTGGCAGTAGGAGGGGACGCCATTCTGGGGAGGGGCGGGCGTCTGTGACACGAGAAAAAATGGATTTAGAGCTGGAAACCAATAAAGATCAATAGAAGGTATAGACGGAACATTTTTCAATTCAGCCAAATTCTCACAAATGTCAGCTGGAAGCCCCTCCTGTCTTTTTCTTTGATCTAGGCAGAGTGATTTAATCTCAACTTCGTCGAGCAAGTCTTAATACCAAAATGTTTTTACTTGAGAAAAAAAAGATGATCGTATATCAGAATGGTTGGCACCCTGGGCCCAAACACCTGTTCATGTGCGAGGCATCTTTGATGAGCAGGAAGTGCTTTATTGAACCAAGTTGATTTTGGTGAAACTGGATCTTGTTCTATGTAGAAAACGTATTCTCTCTTTCTCTCTGACGGCTGCTCTACCTCGACTTTCTGCGATTTAAGGGTTTCCTGAAAGACGGAAAGCTTTACTTGTTGCTAAGGCGATGCTAAACGCTGCCGGGAACGGGAGCTCGGAGCAGTGAGGGGGAGTTGATGTTTTTATTTGGGTACCTGGGAGCCGGGGTGGCTCTGCGCCAAGGTCTCCGAGAGCAGACTCGCACATAGTCCTTCTTGTTCACATTCTCCAGGAACTTGACATAGATTCGCTGGTACCGCCTCTTAGCATCTCCGAAGTAGCCAAGATACTATGCCAGAAACAGAGTGTTAAGATCAACTTGTGAATTAAGAATGTATCAATGTAAATACATGACAGCGTATACTACAAGATTTCTCACGTTGCTCGTGGCGCAGAACTGTCTCTGTCCATCTTTGATCTCCGGGCTGAACTTCTGCAGCAGGGCTTTCTGCACCCTCCAGATGGGTGGGGGCTCACGGCCCATTTGCAGGGCCAGCTGTGGACAAACACAAGACACACAAGTAAGTATAAAACGTCTTAGATGAAACTATTTTTAGCCTTTTGCGTCAGTGTTATTATTTTTGAATTCATTCAAATAATGGTTTCAACAACTTTCTCTATTTGTGTAAAAAAAAAGAAAAAAAAAAGTACTTCATGATTCCTTAACTGTCAAAAACGGAACAAACATTTACACCCAAATACCTTGAGAGTTTGAATGTCCTCCACCCGCACCACAAACTCGTCCCTCTCTCTGAAGATGCCCTCCCCTCCACTCTCAGTCTCGTCTTCCTCACTCTCTCCGGCGATGGCTGCATCTTCCTGCTTCTGCGCGAGGTGCAGGGAGGTGATTTTAGGAGCCGGGGCCTCTTCGGGAGAGGCGGGGGATTCTGGAGACGGCATGGGAGACTCCTTCTGGACTGAAGAAGGGGGAGGAGGGGAAGCGGGATGAGAAGGAAGTGAAGGAGGGGGAGGGGGAGAAGCGGCAGGCTGAGAGAGGGTAGCTTGTGGGGGAGGTGATGGGGAAGTGGGAGCAACAGGGCTCAGAGGCTGGGAGTTCTCCTGTTGTTCCTCCTCAGCTTGGGGCATGGGTGAGGGGAGTGAGAGGGGGGGTAAGGGGGAGTGAGAGGGAGAACATGAGGAGGCGGGAGAAGGAGGGATGGAGGGAGCTTCAGGAGATTCTGGCTCTGAAGGAAGCTCGGGGAGCAGCGCTGGAAGCAAAGAAGGGAAAGATCAATTTTACACATCGATCAAAAACAGCCACAAGAATTCATTCTCCCATAAACGGACATTTGATTGGAAACACATGCAGCTCAGCCTAAAGGGGCATTTAGTAACATCTTAAGCTGAGCTGTACAGAAATCAGCACGAAGATTTAAAATGACAGGAAATCAAAAACTCCTAACTTACCATCTAGACTCGGGGCTCCCAGGGTCTCCAGCTGTGGCTCTCTCTCCTCCGTCATGTCCCTCTCTTCATCTCCTCCCGCGCTCCTCTGCTCTCCCTCCTCTTTGTTCTCATCCATATCTCTGTCGTCTTCTAGCTGGAGGACGTCAGGCTCGTTGGACCGGGGCAGGTCGTGGGGGGTGTGCATGGCGGGCTGAGGGCTGAGCGTGGGGGGCTGCAGCGAGGGAGTGAGCGGGGACGGGGTGGCCTGGGACTGAGGCTGGGGAGGGGACGGAGGGAGAGGGCTCTGCATGTTGGAGGTCAGTTGAGGGGTGTCGTACAGAGCGGAGATGGCCGAGGAGATGCTCTTCTGGAGGTCCTGGTTCTTCCCCACGGAGTCCTCTTCGTCGGAGGAGAAGGACGGCAGCGTCTCCAGGTTCCTCTTCAGCTCGTCCTCTAAGCGCTTGGGGCTGTGGCAGTTGCCCAGAGTCAGGCCCCCGTTCCCTTCACTGTCCCCAAAGGGAGGCAGCGGCGGCGGAGGAGGTCCAGGAGACAACTGGCGCAGACCTCCCGATTTAAAGGGGGACGTTTCTCCGTTGTCATGCTCCATTCCTGGGGAGATGTCCAAGCCTGGAGGTCTCTTCCCCGTCTTGAGGAAGTCCAAGAATGAAGCGACAAAGCCGGCCTTGGAATCAGAGTCCTTCTCATCACCCTGTAAGCAAAACAAAAAACAGACACTTGTTAACACTAAAGTCAAAAATCACTGTTTAAATTGAACTATTTCAATGTTTTGCTCTTACAACCACAATCATGTAGCTCTTACCCTTTCCTCCAGTCCCTCATCGTCCACTCCTTCACTCATCATCTGGCTTTTCTGCTTGTTCTTGTCATGACTTCTGTTGCTTTCCGTGCTGCAGGGGGGTCCAGGACTCAAACCCAGAGAGGGAGCGGAGCCCACCGAGCCGTCCGACAGAGCGGGGTCCGTGCCGGACAGAGAGTCCGTCCTCAGCAAGGCATCGGAGGAGGACAGGGTACCAATGGGTAACTTGATCTGAAACAAGACAAAAAGGAAACGGGTAAGAATTAAAGTATGGCTGCAAAGATTCATCAACAGATCAATTAGTTAAGCGACATAAAATAAATGTTTTATTTGTTGTAACCAATTAATATAATCGAAAATAGATATACAAATGAAGTTATTTTAATTCACTCAGATGACATATCCTGCAATATTATATATTAAATATATTTGGGTTTTCTAATAACCATAACAAAGCACTTAATAGAAATCCCCTGAGAAACCTGAACAAACATTTTTCATCATATTTTATAGACCAAACAATGAGGCAGTTAAGAAAACTTGTCAGGCTTAGGAATAATGAAACACTAATTTAAAGTAAATTTGCCTGAAGGTGCAAAAATACATACTGCAATTAAAAAAATTAAAGCCATGATGATGTTTTTTACTGCAATTAAAAAAATATTATGGGTTTAGCCTTCCCCCCCCCAAATCAGATCCTATGTAATATAAGGAAAGGACATTGTTTATTTTCAAAGATTAACCCAAGGCACTGTATATAGTTAAAATACTTAACGTTTTGAAATGTATTAGAAAAACACCTGTGCTGGAAAAACGATTTCTTTCAATATTTCTAAGCCTTTTTTATCCTGAATGCCACTGACCTTCAGAGGAGGAATGGGCTCGTGCATCTGCTGCTGGAGCTGCTGCGGCTGGAGTTGTTGTTGTTGCATCTGATCCTGCTCCTTCCCGCTCATTTCCATGTACATATCCTCCCTCCTCTGTCCCCTACCTCGGCTTCCGCGGCCTCTACCCCTACCTCGGCCCTCTACAGTGAATCCCGCTCCTGGAGTTGTCGGAGCCATTTCTCCCATCATCCCCCGTGGAGTGTAAGGCTCGGGCATCGGGCGGATGCGTGGCCTGCCTCTTGGTCTCGGTGGTCCATCTCTCTTGGGTCTAGTAGGCTTTCGGCCCCTCTTCTTGGGTCCTTCCTGAGGCATAAGAGAGTGTGACCCCATCGAGGAGTATCCAGAGGCGTGGTAGAAGTCGATGTCACCCATCAAAGGGCTGAGAGAGCCTCCCCCTCCTCCCTTTCTGCAGCTCGACACCAAGTCTGGCAGCAGATCCGGGAGCCTCCGGCTGTTCAACCGGATGTCAGCCGGCTGGTCGGCTTTATCCTCATCGTCTTCAAACTCGTATTCTTGAGCGTAACTTTTCTTAGGCAGTGTGTTGGGGTCCCGCCGCTCCTTTAACAGATGGAAGGAGCTCGACTTGAGGAGCTTCTTGGGACGAGAGGAGCAGAAAATAGGAGATTGGAGGCCTCCGGAACCAGTGCCTTGGCTGGGTCCTCCGGGCCCAGAGGACATTTTAGCTCCAGGGTTGTTGGGACCAGCCGGGTTGGAGCCCATACCCATAGCTGGGCCCTGGGACTGTATCAACCCCAGCTGTTCCGTGTTCACAGTGGAAGGGAGCTCGTGGGTTTTAAGGGAGTCCAGATCCAGAGTCATGGTGTTGTTGCTGGGCTCTTCCAGGCCGTGACAGTAGGGTTCGTAACCCTGATCTCCACCATGGTGACCCATCATATCGTAGCTACCTCCTCCACTTCCACCTGCTCCACCTCCGCCTTGTCCACCTTTCATTGAATCCATTCCCTCTTGCCCGGTGTGGCTGTCGTTCATCTCCTCCTGTCCCGGCCCAGCACCTCCGGCACAGCTCGACTTGTAGTCTTCTGCACAGAACATGTCTTCCATTCCCGGGAAAAAGGAGCGGTCCTCATCCTGAAGGAGAGAGTCCGGGAAGCAGATGGAAGTGAGGGGGACGAAGCGGTTACTCTGCTGATTCTGGTCTGCCTTCTCCACTGGGCTGACGTTGTCAAACTGGTGCTGCTCGGAGCGCTGCTGGTCCAGCTGGCTCTGCTGGGGGGTGAGCTGGGAAGAGAGGGGCTGCTGGGGGTCAGACTGAGACTGGGAGTGGCCTGAGGCTGACTGTGAGGGTATATGGTGTTGAGAGTGAGGGTGGTGGGAGTGGGTTTGTTGGTGTTGGGAGCCGGGGTGCTGCTGTTGCTGCTGCGCGTGGTGCTGTGAGAGGTGGTGCATGTGAGGCGGGGTGGATAAGCCCATGTCTGGCTCGGAGAGGAAGGAGTGGAGCTCGGAGGCTGAGTGTTGCTGCGAGAGATGGTGGGACGGGTGCTGCCTCTGCTCCTGCTGCTGTCTGTGGCGATCGCTGCTCCCTCCGCTCCTTCCCCCGCCGCGTCTGTCTTCTGCAACGGCTACGTCCGTGCTTGAGGTCTGAGAAAGAGAACGCTCCAGCATGTCCAAGGAAGACACCACCGAGCTCTGTTTGACCTGGCTCGGATCGTGCTGATGTGTCGGGGGCCCGTGGTTGTAGTGAGCCGCCGCCACCTCCATGGCCTGTGACTGGAGCTGGAGCTGGAGCTGGGTGGACTGAGACTGAGCCTGGTGTTTACTCGAGCCGAGCGTCCCGCCGCCACCTTCCATCACAGCCTGCTGTTGGCTGATGGAGTGCTGCTGCTGTTGGGAATGAGAGTCCATTTTGTGGTGCTGTTGGTGTTGCCGATGCGAGTCCATCTTGTGGTGCTGCTGTTGGTGTTGTTGGTGAGAATCCATCTTGTGGTGCTGCTGCTGATGAGGCTCCAGTTTGTTGCGGGTGGTGTGGGACAGCACCGACTGGAGCAGGTGGGGCGGCTGACGGGATGGGTCGGTGGGAGAGTCCATGAGGGAGGCGGCAGCTTGGGAATGCTGTTGCTGGATTTCCGGCGTTTTCCGCGGATAAGGAATCTCAGCGCGCTCCTGCGGCTTCTTCTGGAGCTCCATCTGGGAGTGGGACGGGATCTGCGAGTGCGAGGAAACGAGCTGACTATGTGAGGAGAGTTGGGGTGCAAGGGGGTGTTGGCTGTATGGATCTCCTCGCCCGTAGTGGACTACCGAGCCTAGGTTGTCATGGTGATGGAGATGGGAGTGCACTTGTTCAGCGCTGCCCCTCCCTCCACTGTTTCTGCTGCTTCCAACAGACCTTTCGTTTCTCTGCTGCTGCTGTTGGTGATGGTGGTGTTGTTGTTGGTGTTGTTGCTGTTGTTGTTCTTGTTGTTGTTTCTTTAGTGACATTTCCAGCTGGCTCTCCAGCCCTGAGATGGACCCTGCAGACCCTGCATTACCAGCAGATGTGGCACTGTGGGTACGGATGACACTCTGGGGGTGGTACCTCTCCTCAGAGCTCTTACCCATGTCGTAGGCCAGCCCTTTGCCTGAATCAGTGTCCGAGGGCCCTGACTGGGGCTGGGACTGCGTTTGTTGGGACGTCTGTTGGGGTTGTTGTTGAGGATGGTGATGCCCACCCTGGGGAGCGGGACTTGCCTGCGCCTGCAGCAGGTGCTGGATCAAGAACTCGTCGTCGTCGTCCACTTCCTCTTGGGATCTCTGAGAGCCCACTCCAAGCATGGAGGTGTCTGCCTTTGTTTTGGAAGAGGTGGAATGGTAGGACTGAGGTTGGGAGCTGGGGCCTCTGGTGTCGGGGTAACCCTGCGGGGAGGCGAGGAAGGTGGGGGAGAGAACTGAGGAGATGTATTTATTAGAGCCTGCGCCTCCCGGAGATTGTGTGGGACAGGTGGGCACTGGGGAGTGCAACCCTGGACGGACGATGCCTGAGTTGCCTGATGGGGAGGGGCTTGAGTCTGGAAGGTGATAAGACCCTCCAACACTGCCACCTCCACCTCTCTCATTGCTCATACTATTTCCCGCTCCTCCTCCCGAGCCAGAGTTCCCACCTCCTGTGCCACTGCTGCCTCCTCCTGCAGATGCTCCGCTGCCTGATGAACCGCTTGACCTTAAAAGGGCAGGGGAGTGACCTGGGGCTCCGTAGCCTAGTGATGGGCTCCCAGCTCCGCCCAGAGAGGATGGAAGAGATCCATAAGCGGAGTCAGTTCCATATATATCAGTGGGGTAAGACTGGCTTCGCCCTCCAAGACTCCCATAGCCTTTTCCGCCCGTACCAGAGCTCAGGTCTTGGGCTTGTGGTGAACTGAAGCCTCCGTAAGACTGAGCCAGGTGAGAAGGAGGGGGCTGATTAGGAGAATATGACTGTGTCTGTTGTTGGGGTGGGGTCTGACCAGTAAGAGAAGAGGTGGGAGTCTTCACTGGAGGCACGGGCGAACCGTAGCCTGAGAGGCAGGATTTGGGGAGAGACTGGGGGGCTGACGAAGATGTGGAAGGGGGCTGCTGCGGGGCTGGGGGAGGAGGAGCGGGCTGAGGTGGGGGCTGCTGCCTGGAAGGGGCTGCGCTGGAGCTGGATGCAGGGATGGAATTGGAAGGATGAGCCCCAGAGGTGGCAGAAGAAGAGGAGGAGGAAGAGGATGTAGAGGAAGCAGAGGGGGGTGTGTGGGGAGTCCTAGAGGAGGATGCTGAACTGGCAGAAGAATAACCGCTGCTGGAGCTGCTTTTGGTACCTTTCCCAGCGGAGGAAGAAGACGAAGAGGGGGAGGATGAAGAATAGGGCGGCTGGATGATTGGCCGATACTGATCAGTGCGAGGGGGGGGCTTGTGGTCAGATGAGGGGCTCTGGTCACCCAATGGGCTGCAGGAAAGGCCAGCGTGCCTGTGGTGGGGGGCAATCTGCTGGTACCCGGCGCCTCCACAGCTGAGGTAGTGCTGAAGGGAGTGGGCCGCAGAGGATGAGAGCTGGGACTGAGCCGGCGTTGGCCGCTGGTAGTGCTTGATAACGCTGTCCTGTCGGGGAACAGCCCGTTCCTGAGCCGAATTGGACTGAGGCTGCGCTGAGGAAAACACTGATGCATTGTACAGCTGGGACGATTGGTCCTGGAGCTGTGATGACAGCAGGTTGAACTGGTGTGACTGCAGGTGCCTGGCAGAGGACGCCTGGGCTGATGTGACACTCGTGGGATCCTGGCTGCCCCGATAGGCAGCTGCTGCGGCGCCCTGCGATGTCAGGAGTCTATCAAACCCCAGGCTGGACTGGGAAGGGGCCTTGATGTGTAGTAAGGGGTCGTGTGGGGAGAGCAGGCCATTGGATGTGGGACTAAATGTGGGCGTGTCCTGGAGGGAAAGGGAGCCTGTAGGGAAGGGGCGACTGGAGAAGGATGCTGGATGCTGATAGGCTGAGAGAGCTGAGGCCGAGGGGAAGGAGCCAGAGCCAGGAAGCGCTCCAGAGATGAAGAGTTCAGGAGGGGCAGGTGTGTGCATTGCTGTAAAAAAAAAAAAGAGAAAGAAATGATATTGAAACATTCTTTAGTCTCCATCAACCTGTCATTTAAAATTATGAAATAATGGAAGCAATAAATTGTATTTTTAAAGTAATCTAGAGTGATAGGAGAAGGAAAATTCCCAAACAGCCTTGTCAGAATAATTAAGTAGTTTAACATGGGAGGTTCTTTAAATGTCATTTTGGGCCTGTTTGAATGTCAACACATGAGGGACGGTCTAACAAAGCCCTACCTGTCTGCCAGGATGGCGTGCGGAACTGCGAAAGAAGGGAGGAGGCGGAGGGCGGAGGCTGGGGACCCCGAGACTCCAGGGCTGAGATCAGATTCATGACGGAGGCATCGGGGGCAGAGGGGCTGGCATGGTGCAGGCCAGTGTCGAAGAGCCCTGACAGACCTTTGGGAAGGAAACACAGAACCAAGATTGATTAATTAATAAAGAATGCAAAAATGAACAGCTAATGCAGAGATGTAGATTAAATCATGATACATAATCACAAAATCTAAAAAGGTTTATTTCTCGAGCCTGCAGTTACAACAAATGTAAATGAGTCAAAACAACGTAAGTTGTTCTAAGTTTAATTATAAGCACATAAACCTCAATTTCTATAAAACCATTATTATATTGTGTATGAGAATGAATGCTGTGTGACGAAATGCTTTAACATCTAGGGCTTCAACTCAATTGAGCCATAATGTGCACATTTTTCAATGACAATCTAACAGTGCCTGTGGAGAGAGACATAATAATTCATTGCTGGGGCCCCTTATGGTGGTGACATGGAAGGTATGACATTTATCTCACCCAAACTCCGTCCAGCTGCTCCCCAAGCTCCGCCTTGGCCGGTGCTCCCTGGGTGGTGATTGGTGGCATAGCCCTGCAGAGGGTGTGGGGTGGCGTAGGCTTGTCGGTGAAGGAGCTCAGCCTCAGGGTGGGATGATCTGGAGCTCCCATACACAAGACTATGGAGAAAGGGAAATTATTAAGTGTTATTAATATCAGATCACATTTACATAAACTTAATCTGTTCCCTAAATGTGACCCTTGAGAAAAGAAAATGTCAACATAATCTGAAGGGCAAGTTAATTGTTCCCTAATTAAAAATCCACACCTCCAGGTATGTCAACTCCATGCTGTTTATTTGTTTGGTCTCCATGTGTGGGTTCTCCATAGTTTCTCAAATTTTAAAAACAAAATTGCTGATAAGTAATTTATATATTAGTCTAATAGATGAATTGGTTAGAACATTGGTTCAGGACCTTTCCCCCCAAAAAAGTGTAAACAGATTTACAAAACTTGGGAATTATACTAAAGTGAATTGCAGTTGATACAAATCTGTCAATGCAATGTAAATGTCATGCAAAAATAATAGGGTAGTTAATTAGCAATTATTATAATGGACACACAAGACTCAACCATTAAGTAATGTATTAATGTAGAGACTATATAACATTCTTATTCAACACTGAAAATTAGCCAGTTGCAAAACTTTGCTTTAGAAAAGAAAGCTGAAATGCGTGGCTGCCTGGCTGGCCAGATAACATGCTAACATTGTGCTACTGCTAGCACCGCCTAGCACCAATGAACAGTACAAATGCAGAGACTAGGCCCAAACTGCAAGGCCAGTCAAGTCTTTTACGTGTAAATAGACCATGTGTAACGAATATGAAGGTTGAGGTCAAGTAAAACATGTAGTTTTCTCAATATAAACCGTAGACCTATCATTAATTTGTCTGCAACCATCGATTATGTCGATGTAGCTAACAGCTGGATGCTGCAAGTCGACGCAAATACATGCTAAACTGCATGCAAGCACCAGCCACTATCAAGGTTTGTTTATCAAAAGAACACTTCTAATAGGGGCATGGTGGCTTTTTACTGTGATAAATCAGACAGGTTTGAGTCAAAATATCTCAAATATGTGCAGCTAACTAAGCATAATGATGCTTGCGAGCACAGGCCTCAACTGACTTCCATGCAACATAGCGCTAGCTTGCAGGCTAACGCGAAGCTAAAAGACATAGCTATCTTGCACAGCACAGGCAATTTTCATCATCTTAAAAATTCACCGTCGCATTTTATTTTGTTTTTGCAAAAGAGCAAATTGAATGTTTTGGTACTTTTGAATAGTCCACCATTTTTAATCAGGAAATTAAATAATCCATCACTGATAATCTAGATTACGCTTGGGTAAAATGCATCAGAAATCTCAATTTTATTATAAGAAAGTCACCACCTCTAATTTAAGACGTTTTATTATTTTTCTTCACAACGTCACACAGAACAATTGTTTTTGTTTAATGCATCTCCCCAGGTATTATGCATCTGTTCCGATTGTTGATGTCCGTCAGGGGCTTTGCTGCGTCTGCACTCTTCGCAGTTGCTTTGAATCCAATGCATTTATCTATCAGGGTCCAGGCCTGCACACAGGGAACAATAATTCCTATGGATGCTCCAGACAGACATACCCCCACCTCCACCCCGCCAGGTCCACCTAAAACCCATGTCTGTCAATCATTTTCAATTCATATCCCCAACCTTTTCCTTTCTCCACCCCGCCCACCCCCACGACACGCACACTACTATATTCCTGTTTATAATATTATTACTATGCATCTGTTTGGATGACAATGCACTGCACATAATGGCACGGCATGCTACTATTTACGGACCCAATGGCGACAATTTGTTTACATGGGCCACACCGTGCCTTGCAAAGTACCAGTGATGCATGCACATTGTCTGAATCAAATGCATACCTTGCTTTTGCCGATCTCTCGTAACTCCATCCTGCTCCTGCGCCCAAATCACCAAACCCTGTTCCCGGGTAATTTCTATCCATTTATGAGCTGTACAATGAGTGCGATGAGGACGAAAGCGACGAGAACGTCGCACCGCAGATTACGGAAAAAAATCCAGTCTTTCCCGTTGTCGGTTTCAGGCTATTTTCCCCGGTTTCATAAGCAAGTCCTCAGGAGTGGAAAACAGCATATTGAAAGAGAAATGGAGGGGAGGAGGAGAAAGCTGGATGAAAAAAGAGGGGGGTCTACGGGGTTATAATCCAACCACCTCCAAAAAAAGCCAGTCTTTCTCCTTTTCTGTCGCCTTTCACATTTATCATTTCCACGAATGCAGATTTAGTCCAAATTCAGTCATGGTCATGATGGAGATGCCGCGGATTTGGCCGGTGGTGGATGAATCGCTGATAAACATTTGATTTGAATGCGTCCTTTTCACCGTCTCTCCTCCCCTTTCTTTAGGCTAGTCCTTGCTACGATGCTAGCACCAGAAGAAAAAAGGATTGCAATCGACGGGGCCACGTTGGTAGCAATCACTCCCCACCGACGAGCAAAAAGAAATCCCCACAATTGCAAAATCCTTTTTCTTTTCTCCTTTGAATGCAAATCGTTCCCACCCCCCTCCGGAGCAGAGCTGTGGGTTAGCAGCAGATGCTAGCTGTCACTAACGACGCATCAAAAATAAAACAGGGCTGCCTTTATTTCCCCAAATACTCGCTCCCCTGATTTCTGCTTTCTTTACCCAATTCAAGTAAAAGCGACGACGAGTTTGCAAACACGGGGTAAAATAAAAACAAAGTGCGAAAAAACACCAATACCGAACGAGGAAGTATAAAGAAAACAGGCCGCGTTTTAATATTTTTTACTCATTTTCCTCCGGAGACGCCATTTTTGAAGGCGGCTGGCCGCTGTCCGTCCTCCCTCTCCCCCTCTGTGTCTCACCGCTGAGACTCACTCAATGTCTGCGGTGACCTCCATTCACTCTGCCAAGCAGCCCTGCATGCTATTCCAGATTTTCATCTTATTAAGAGGCCAAATATTAATTTAGACTGCATTTTACACGAACAAAAATAGTCAGCTGTCTGTCTTGATCGCTGCGATTGGCTGAGACGCGTTCGAGTGCAAAAGTATTTCCAGTGATAACCAGATTTATATGGGCCTTCAGCAACCGCTTTTCAAATTTACATCCGAAATGTGGAGCCTGTTTTGAGAGACAGAAGCATTTCCTGCCTCAAGTCCGATGCTTAAGTAGGCTGCAGTTTCATGTAATCAGTGGAATGCAAATACTGGGGATTTTCCTTACAATTGCCAACATTCCTTAAATTGCCAAGACCTGATTTAGGGTGTTTCTTGCTAATTTTATTATTTGGAGTACCAGTCTGCCTGAGCTCATGTGCACTTGATTTGAACACCAGCAGATGGCACACTGGATTTTATGTTCATGATAAAAGAGAAGGAATCACTGGCAGCATGACAGTGATGCTTTTCTCATATTTCATTTTTTGATCAGGGTTTTCTGATGCACTGTCAGTGGCTTTACCATCATATTAACATTTCACCATATTGAATTGCATAAAAACACCAAGATACTGTAAGAAAATGATTTCAATACGTGAATGAACATCTAAACTAGTAAATAATGCTAAATGTAAAACGTATCTCTTTTGTTGGTAGCACTGATGCACATCTCTGGAGGCCATTTGTCCAGAAATGTAATGTGTATGAGAGTTTGTTGCCCTCTAGTGGTGAAGTGAAATCCTTGAACTAAAATACTGTAAATATTAAGTGACCACAACATTTTAGGCATTTTACCTTTTGCAATACCTTGTCATTTAAGAAAACGTGGGGGACAAACAATCTATGTTTTGTAATATTTGCTACAACTCTTTACCTCTTAAGCTAACAAAGCAGTGTATAACAGAAACAGGCTTCCCCATCTCCTTTCAGGAGAAGACCTTCCCCTGTGGTGAGTATTTTAGATGCATTATGAGGTCTTTGTAATGCACAATGCTTGACTCAAAAGGTCAGCTATCTGCATATTCATTAGAAAGGCTGTCAAACAAAGGTTGGACATGAAAGCATTTGAGATTACCTACATTTTGTAGGTTAATGTACATAATGGATAGAAGATACATGTAAACAAAGGGAAAGGAGCAAAGAAACTCAACTTTCCCAAACATTTTGCAAAAAGTAAAATAAAAAGCAAGACTAGAGAAACAAGTATTTCAAATCAAATTGAGCAGTCTCTTGCAGATGATTAATTTCTTCTGAGTTTATTACAAATAGTTGCTGTCATACCTCTTCCCTCCCTCTCTCTCTCTCTCTCTCTCTCTCTCTCTCTCTCTCTCTCTCTCTCCCTCCCTTCATCGCTGTAACCAATCTGTAACCATACATGAATGCAGCTCTTGTGGTAAAGCCACAAACTCCAGATCTTCCCTGTCAAAATGCCAGACTCCAATGAAGCAGTTCCAGCATCATGCCAGGTCATCAAACAGGACTTTGACAAATGGTGAGTACTGACTGTAATTAAGGTACAATTATAGATACTAACAATGTATTTCATTTTGTACAAACATACATTACTATTTCATCAGCCAGCGTGACAGTCTTTGGTGTCTGTAATTGCCAATAGAGAGGGTCTTTGTATAACTGTGTGCCCTGAGGGGAAATGAATGAACTGTGTTTGGGTTCCAACTAAATACTTGTCACTTCAATTACATCCACATGGCCATCCTCAGTTAACACTGATTGACTTCTATGCGGGGCATCCAATGTTTTCATATTCACTTCTCATCTGGGCTCAATTTGTAAGAGTGCTGTAATCCTTAAGTCTAACTAGAGTTCATGTAGAATACTCAACATTTATGGAGGGCCCTTACAGTAATGCAAATGTCTTAAGAAGCAAAAATAGATCTGAGGTTTAAAATAGGTTTACACATGTATGACCTATTGCAGAGCATCGGCACATACCAGTCTGTTGGTTCGTGTTACATGAAAACACTTTGTGTGTGTGCAGGTGCAGCTGTCATTAGTGCTAGTGTAGCTGCTGCTGCAATTTTTGTGTTGTACTTTAGTAAATGCAGAGGAGTAGAGTACTTTATTATCCGGCTATACTGTAATAATCCCTTTCATGCACATCGTTGAATACATTTAGCAGTATTATTTACGTTCCTCCACTGAGTTTTAGGTGACTTTTAATGTGTTTACTGTTTTTCTCAACATTTACATTACGTCATTTGCACAATTTTAAACTGAAACATGTTATTGTGTCAGAGAAGATAAACTATGTACATGTGCCGGGAGTGTTAAGTGTTTTGTAAACCCAGTTTTGTGTTTCAGTGTCAGAGAGAAGGGAGAGGACGCCTGCAAAGATCTGATGGACGCCTTCCAGTCCTGTTTAAAAACCCTGTCTGAGGGATCATGATACGTAAGGAAGTACATCTTCATCAAAGGTAAGTTCACACAATTGACTACAAACTATCATTTCTGATTTTTCTATCATGTATAATCACACAACATGAACACATCACTCTACTAATTCAATGAGCAAGAATGCACTAAGTGAGTTTATTAGGAGTTACAGTATATGATCATTTTACCAGAATTTAGACTCAAATGAAAAAGGTAAATTATTATGATTAGGAAAAAAGTATTGAAACTGTAAAGATAGGACATTTAAACGGCAAATGGATACTTGAAAATAATAAGTAAGCTGCTCCAATTACAATATTACTGGCTAGCTAATGTGAAATAATGCTTTTTTATTCCATCTAAAAGATTGTCTTTTGAAGGGTGAATATACCTGTGAGATTAAATTGTATTGAATTACAATCACATATTTATATTCATAACATTTCCCATCTTTTTTTATTTATTTAAATCGCAGCTTCACTTTAACCAATCCTCCACTTTTCCCAGCATTCCCTTCACTGCTGATTGCACCGGACCGAACCATCAGAAAAACTGAAGAGGGGGGTGCTGATACTGAACGTCGTAAAATACTGTATTCTTCTGTCAATGTGAAACATTTTTTGTCATAACTGTGATAACTCCATTATGGATTAGACTCTGATAAACTCTGCACTGTAACCTTTTTTGCACAAAAAAGCAATGAATAAAAAGCTACTCTATTGACAAGTTTTTATTTCAAACATTTTTGTTATGTTTTATTACATGTGCTGGCTGTTGAAATCTCTTCACTGGCCGAGCATAGGCGTTCACGTGGAATAGCTGCTCTTAATGGAATTAAGCAGAGTTTGTTAATCTCTGCTTAATCCTCACATTAGTACTTGCACTGAGCAGTCTGATGTCGCTTTCCCAGTCTGAGCTCTTGCAATGAGTTAGTGGAGATGGAAGAAAAGTCAGAGGTCCTTATTTTCAGTAGAGAAAATGTGTTTAGTAGCCGAAATGATTTATTCACAAACCGGATGTGACCTAATAGACAGGGTAGATCCGGGTGTTGTGGACGAAAAATATATATTTACAAATATTTGCAAGATAAAGCAGACTTTATTCTGCCCTCAATTTTTTTTAAGACTGAGACTTTTGTCCTTCTTTTTTATTTCCCATCTTTGCTTCTCTCAATTCCTTTAGTATAAATACTGCTTGGTTGCAAACATAGCATCACGCATTACAATATGTCTTGTTATCATCCATTAAGATTGACTTTATCATTTGCGGCACTGATTGAGGTCCACCATTTCTGTAGTACTTTGATCTAAAACAACCAGAGGGAAACAGACGATTGTAGAATGAGTGTTCCCAGTTCTATTTCTGCACCATGGTTGGAGACAAATCCTTCTGGCTGCGTGTAAATCAACCAGCTAGGCGCAGATGAAGATGGGCTTTGGGGAATTATCCGCCCACACACAACATTTCAGATTTAGAGATTTTTCAAGGCACTTTACAGATGATACATTCACATGTCCTACATACCTCCTTTTCATCCCTGTGTGATTCATTTAAATCAGCACCCAACACATATCTTTTCAGTTTCATCTCCAGATGAGGAGGTGTGATGGGTCACCCTTATTTAAGGAGATGTGATCGTCAGAAAATATTATTTTTGTCATATGGTCTATAGCTGGCATCATGAATTTCTGGAACATTTGGTGTTTTTTATACAAAGAGAAAATGTTGTGTGATTATAAATGGGGCTGACAATGTATGAATAAGGTGACACAGAATATGTGCGTTTAATATAAGCTGTTCATCAGTTAATTTAATGTTTTACAGTTTTGGAAAAAGCATTGGGATATTTCACTTTAGTATAGGATACTTTATTACAAGTTACCAGTTAGTTAAAAATAATTTAAATGTGCTTAATTACCTTTATACTTCTAATACTATTTATTTTTTTCGATGTTGTAGCTAGTCACACAATTTGAGTAATTATGTTTTTATAATATTCCTCTAGAATTTAATTAAAATCATAATGTTCAATAAGTAGTTTTCAGTAATCTAATTCAATTTACGTTACATCAATTGTAGTGGAGTAGAATCAAGTGCATTAAAAATACAAATATTAGAGTAAAGTTCTTATTGACTTTTGTAAAATATTTAAATAATTCGACTCTTTTGTTTCTTCAAAAGTTAGTCCAGTAGTTACATTTTTAGGGATGCATTTTGTTAAATCTGTTTAATAAATGAAATGGAGTAATTACATTATTTCCCTTTTGGAGTGAAAGTATAAAGTAGCATTACATGGAAACACTCAAATAAAGAAGTAAAAAGTACTGTACTTCAGTAAATGTACTTTGTTACTTCCCACCTCTGCTGGAGAAGGACTATAAAGTTGCATATAATGCAAATACTGAGGTTATGCAATTACCTCCTTATTGTACTTAATTAAATTATCTTTTTTTTTTTTAATGCAACGCAATCCCCACTGCGGCCCAAAGGCTGCGGGACAGCGGTGATTCTGAGAGGCCAGAGCCGGGACAAAACACCCAAGTCCCCTCCTCACCAGCAGTCCCATCCGCTGCCTCTGGCGATGTTTACACGTTTTTTTTCATGAAAACAGTAAGGGAGGTGTCCGCGGTGCTGAGGTGAATGCAGAGATAAGCGTATTTTGAGGAAGAAGACCAGGAGGAGGAGGAGGAGGAGGAGGGCGAGATGAGAGTGGATGGAGAGAGAGAGAGAGTGGGACCCGGATGCTGATGCGAGTGAGACGAAGGAAGGAAGAGGAGAGAGGAAAATATCGATTTACGGCAAGAAAACCGAAGGGAGTGTAATTTAGGGGGGCCTTTTACCCTGCGTGAACTATTATTAAAAGTGAGGTTGGGGAAATAAGGCAGTCGGTAATTGTGCGAGGTTATCTGCGGATATTTTTTACCTGTGTATCCGCCGGTGAGGAGGGAGGACACGCCAAAGGAGAGAGGAGAAGATGCTGTGATCTGCAGGGATGTAGAGAGACGGGGGAGAGTCAGGGAGGGGGAGGACTACACTACGCTAAAAGATGGTTGTTTTGCTAGGAATTTCACCTCGAAATATTGTGAGAATGCGGAGGCCGTGTGATAAATCTAACCGTTTGGCGTTGAACTTCCGGAGGAGTCGCTTTTTTTGACAGCAAGACGGCCGTTGGTCCAGCCGTTGAAGCTAAAGCTAGCCTCGCTGCTGTGTGGGAGAGCGGCGGCGAGGCTAAAACATAGCATGTTGTTGCACCTGTGAAAGGCCTGACAGAGAGAGTAAAACAGATTTAATTATCAGTGCTAACAACCAACTGGCGTATTTTGACATTTTGTTGGTTAGACACGACCAGCAAATGATATAAATCTTTCCAACCTACGTGGAAAAACACGTTAACGTTCCTCTAATACGATAATTTCTACGTAATATCTACTTAACGTCATTATACAAATAAGCTAATGTACAGGAGTAAAACTCTTTAATTTGTCATGTTTATCTTTAGGGTAGTGTTCAGTATTTAACGCATACAACAGCCTTGTAACTTGCTGTCATTTCAGTTTCTCTTCTTCAACGTTATACATGTTAACTGTGCTTCAGAACAACTATATTTAGCTTTGTGTATTAACCAGATTTGGATAAAGAATGTTCATGTATCACCCATATGTCAGCACCAGTTTGCAGTTTTTAAACATTCACCAAGTCAGTGTATCAGTATTATCACTGAAATAAAATCTGCAAAATTGAGCACCATCTTGTAACTGTATAAGCTGTATAATATCACAGTGATTGCAATAGCCACTGTGCAGATAGAGTAGTGTGTTAGCCTCCTTCAAGAGCAGTATGAGTAAGGAACTGTCTCTGAGTCAGTCAGCTCAATATGTTGGGCCCTACCGACTGGAGAAAACACTGGGGAAGGGACAGACAGGTGAGTAAACCCGGCGGGATTTTAAACTACTAAATGTAGACATTTAAACTCTAGATGACGCGTCTTTCAAACATGTCTGTCTTATTTTTGCCTCTACATTTTCTATTTCAGGACTGGTCAAGCTCGGGGTCCATTGTATTACGGGTCAGAAGGTAGCGGTCAAAATAGTCAACAGAGAGAAGCTGTCTGAGTCAGTCCTGATGAAGGTACAGTATGAAGCTCGTCAGGTCATTGCAGTGATCATAATGCTTTAATCAAGATGCTTTACACAAACTGCTCCATATTCTCTATATTTAACTAATGTATTCTCCTGGCTTGTGTGCTCTCTGCTTTAATATCTTCAGCTCTTTTTCTGCACATCTGTCTCTTCTCTCTAACCAGGTTGAGAGGGAGATTGCCATTCTGAAACTGATTGAGCATCCGCATGTGTTGAAGCTGCATGATGTTTACGAGAATAACAAATACCTGTGAGTTTCCTCTGCATTCAAAAGAGCCCCACAACTGCGCTCTATGCAGTCTGCATGCTTTATTCTGTGGCTGAATACTGAACTTTGGAGCAGGCTGGGTATTAATATTACTCCTATGAACTATATTAATCTCCTATTCGTCAAATCTCCCTTTTCATTTGTTTCTGCTTCGTCTCTTGCATTAAATCTTAAATGTTTTTGATTTATCTTGAAGAAAATATTCACTAAAATGTTAAAATAAAGATTTTTCAGAATAGACAGGTATGTTAGCTTAAAGTGAAGGCATAACAAAATAAATTACAAGATTTCATATCAATATTTTAGACCAAGAATCAAACATCCAAAATGCGTAGTATCTTTTTTGGTCCTCACTAATGTCTTTTTCAAATCACACTGTTCTTCCTTAATGTTGAAAGGTACCTGGTGTTGGAGCATGTGTCGGGGGGGGAGCTGTTTGACTACCTGGTGAAGAAGGGCCGGCTGACTCCGAAAGAGGCCAGAAAGTTCTTCAGGCAGATCATATCTGCTTTGGATTTCTGCCACAGTCATTCCATCTGGTGGGTTTCTTTGCTGAGAGTGGTCCTTAAATCAAACTCTTTAAACAATGAAGAATCCATGCCAAGTTGATGTGTCATGGAAGAATAAATCAGAAGCTGTCTTAGTCAGTTACATCAAAAATGAATCATAAACATCTCTTTCTAATACTGACTCAATGTTTGCAGGCACTTTTCATCCTTAAATATCATTTGGACACATTTTTGTCAGCAAATCAAGTTATACATTAGTGGATTGTGTAGCAGGAACAGTTGAAAAGCGATAACCAGTACTGGAAATCTTACAGTTTCTGTTGTGTTTGTGTCAACAGTCACAGAGACCTGAAGCCTGAGAACCTGCTCCTGGATGAAAAGAACAACATCCGTATCGCTGACTTTGGCATGGCCTCCCTACAGGTGGGGGACAGTCTGTTAGAGACCAGCTGTGGGTGAGTACCAAGTGTTTGAGTGTGCTGTTAATGAGTACACCCATTTTAAAATATTTTGTATTTCAGAAACAGTGTATATCAATGCATAACATAATAAATTCCTCGTGATAAAGAATACATAATGTGCCACTTTTTAAAATACTACTTATTATTAGTAATTACTGCCAATTATTCCAGAATTGCACGCATAACAATTGTGCTTTTTTCTTTCATTTTAGATCACCACATTATGCTTGCCCTGAAGTCATACGGGTGGGTGTTTCTCAAATGTTGGAACCTGTAATATAAACCATGCAGATGTTAATTCTACAGTCATTTAGGAGATGTCTTAGATAAGCCCCTAATGAGCTGAAATTGAATCCGTGATTGAATCAATCAAAGTCACTCATATTGCGTTTTTAGTCAGTGTATGATTCATTCTTTCTGTCGCAGGGAGAGAAATATGACGGGCGGAGAGCAGATGTGTGGAGCTGTGGGGTCATCCTTTTTGCTCTACTGGTGGTGAGTCTTTTGCTCCGTTTTCACAACACAGGTTTGGTCCTTTTGTAAAGGCCCCTTTATGTTTCTGCAGACTTCCTTCCCCTTCTTCAAGTCAGGTTTATTTGTAACACTTTTTTTTGTCCTTTTCATCCCATCCTTTCTCCTACAGGGTGCCCTGCCCTTTGACCATGACAATTTACGGCAGCTCCTGGAGAAGGTGAAGAGCGGGGTGTTCCACATGCCCCACTTCATCCCCCCGGACTGTCAGTCCCTGCTGAAGGGCATGATTGAGGTCAACCCCGAAAAGAGGCTCACGGTAAGAGACTGTGCTCACACCAGGCTCAGAAACATGGGGTCTAAATGCCTTCTAAAAAACTGGAATTAAAACTATTTCTATATTTAGACTGTACCCAAAGATAATTTACACCTGTGTTACGATACGATATACTTTATTGTCCCCTTAAGGACATTTGTTCTGGACTCTGTCCTGCAGTTCCGCATACATCTACATATACAAACATAATAAACATTAAAATACATACACATATCATCACTCATACACCGTTCGCACAAACACAATACACAGACGCACATACTGACAATGGCGACCTATTGCACAACCCTCATGGCCAACATTTAAAAGTATTAAATTGTCCTCATCAAATTGCGGTTCGCCTTTCATTCCTACTTTATGAATTTATCGGAATTGACAATATGTTCATGGTAAATTTACATTCCTGTAGTTGTCATTGTAGAGAATGAAAAAATAGAGCCTAATCAAAAATAAAATACATGATGATCACATAAGAAAGACCAGACTCCCAGAATGTTCCTATTCAATTATAAAAACGTTTCTTTTTCTTATGCAAGGGGACATTATTCTTTAGATGATTAAATTGATCGTTTTGCCCCAAAAATGATTGTCGCTAAATTCCTATTTTTAAAAGAAATATTTGTTTCTTAAAAATAAAATGTGATTTCAAACCAAGTCATTTTAAGAGTTCCAACTAAGCATATTTGAATGATTCATATGGATAATATCATGAATCACACCTACAGTACTTAAAACATATCGTCCAATGCCTTAACAGAAATCAGAATAACGCATGTAATTGTGATTTTAATGTAAAATACTGATGAGGAGTTTGAAAGAAAAGTATCTGGTGTGAGGTGTTCACACAGCACAGCTCTGCGGCCATCTGGCTGCGAACAGACTGTAGGAGCTAATGGCCCCATCTGCCCTGTCACCTTTTACAGCTAGAGGCCATCCAGAAACACGCCTGGTATCTGTGAGTATACACTCTCTTTTTACATACTGGACTGTTGAATGAAATACTAATCTGAAGCGATGTGTGGTCATTTTTAATTATTCTTTATATCTGTGTCATTCATGTGTGTTTCACGGTGTGTGTGTGTGTGTGTGTGTGTGTGTGTGTGTGTGTGTGTGTGTGTGTGTGTGTGTGTGTGTGTGTGTGTGTGTGTGTGTGTGTGTGTGTCTCCCAGGGGTGGTCGCAATGAGCCGTGTCCCGAGCAGCCTCCTCCCAGGCGAGTGTGTGTGAAGCGAATCTCTTCCCTAACGGAGCTGGACCCAGATGTGTTGGACAGCATGCACTCGCTCGGGTGTTTCCGAGACCGAGGCAAGCTCACGCGTGATTTGCAATGTGAAGAGTAAGTATTTAACATAACTGTGTTTAACCGTGAACGCCGCGTGACCTGGAAAACACTCACACTTACTTACATAATGAAGTGCAAGTGAACAGCCCTGCAGTACAACCACTACTGCTCTAATTACAATGGACAGTAATGAGGTTATGTTATAAAACGATTTGAAACTGTTGAAAGATTATTAATATATATGTTGAGGAGAAAAAAAGTATTATGTAACTATTATGTAAGACAATACAGTACGTGAAACATCTAGTTATACTAATTGCATTTATTAAAGACTGCAGTATTTTAGTTACTATTATTCTGCTCACACATTCATGTACTTCATTTATGATTTTTTGTACTCCTGTGTATTGTGGACAGATATTGTGAGAGCTGTGTGAAAGCAGAAAGGGGATACAGTTTCCTCTCCAAAAAGCCATGTGATACGTTAGTGAAAGAAAGCAAGATGGCGGATGAAGCTGTGTGATCCACACCTTACAAAAATCAAAGTCATGGTGCAGTCAGGTGCTCATTGAGAAAACAAACAAACAAAAAAAGCAATATTTAAATAATGATTTGTGTTCAAAAAAAGCCTGTGTTTTGTTGTTTTGAAGTGGAAAACGCTGGAGATCAGGCACCTCAACATACCTCACCATAACTTATAGTAGGAGTAGGTATTTGGATCGATGTTTATTTTCTTCTGTTTGTGTCTCAGAGAAAACCAGGAGAAGATGATCTATTACCTGCTGCTGGACAGGAAAGAGCGCTACCCCAGCTATGAGGACGAGGACTTGCCACCGCGCAATGACGTAGGTCAGTCAATAGGGGGCAGGAGGGATCCACTCAACGCAGGGAGCTGCTTTTACCAGCCTAGCTTTCTGTGAAGAGATTTTACCGGAGTGTGTGAGTCTGGGGCCAAACACAGGTACCCTCAGAATTATTTACACACTATTGGGTTTTGGATAAGATATTTGTACATATAGCCATTAAACCAAGAAGTCAGTCAATGTCATCCCCACCATTAGCATCGGCCTAAAGCCTCTTCTGTCTTCAAAAATCATTTAAAATTGGACAAAACTGGGTGAAGACGGCTATTCTTTTTTGATTAAATAAAGCAAAATGTATCACAGTCACAGATGGCGCACAGAGAGCCAGTGGGAAAATCACACTTTTGAGTACTGTAAAAGAGAAAATAAATGCATAGTGACAACAGAGCGAGATGATGAAGATGAAGCCACATTTGTTACTAACAGCAAGCAATAGGGTTTATTAATAAAAAAATAAAAAAACACCTTACCAGTACTGATACATTTAAATAAATAATATCAAAATAATAAATACCAATAAACAAGATCAACAACTATTTTGGAGGGCACTTCCACAAGCTACTAAACATAAATATGATACATAAAAAAAAATTAGACTAATATTAATTAGATCAATTATGTTGTAGTGCACTGTCACAACCTAGCAAAGCAAAATAATCGTTTTTTTCGATTATGTTGTTTTCGTAATTGTGGTAGGCCAAAATCATAATTGCGATTAAAATACCATTAATTGCACAGCCCTATCACACACACACACACTTTTTGTCTAACACGCTAACACAGTTCTGTACTGTTATGCTGTTATGTTCAGTCATTGTTCTTATGTTGAACATGAATACATTTACTTTGTAAGTAATTATGGGACGTATTTCTTCTTTCATAGCAATTTTCCTTCATACTTTCTTGCCGTGAAATAGGTCTTAAATTCTATTCAAAGTGGTCTTGAAAAGGTCTTAAAAAGTCTTAAATTTGAGTTGTTGAAACCTGCAGGAACCCTGACCACTTCAACGGGAAAGAAACAAAGCATATTTTTCAGAGTGACAGTTGCCCAACATATCCTGCAATGTAAGTCAAACTTAGCCAAAAACTGCAAATAAATGTCGATCTATCCTTTCATAACTTTACGTCGGTGCTCCACAGCAGACCCTCCTCGAAAGCGTGTTGACTCTCCGATGCTGACGCGCCACGGCCGCTGTCGCCCCGAGAGGAAAAGCCTCGAGGTGCTCAGTGTTACTGAGCAGGGGTCCCCTACCCCGCCTCGCAGGGCCCTGGACACAGCTGCACACAGCCAGAGGTACTTATAGTATGCTAACACACATGCATTACACACAGTTTCTCGTTGCTCATACTCTTTCTTTGCTGACAATCCTTTGACCTGGGCTCTGTTCCCCAGGTCTCGCTCAGTCAGCGGAGCATCAACCGGTCTCTCCTCCAGTCCTCTCAGCAGTCCCAGGGTAAGGGCCTGGTGGCCAAACTTCGACAAACTGTACACATTTAACTGTTGCATTGATTACCTGCACTGTCTTTGATCAGAATGCAAGCATGCATTATAAAATATTGAAATCCAACATTATTTTGTATTATTTAACTCCCCCAGGATAGACTCACAATAATCAGGCCATTGAACGACCCCCCCTCCTGCTTGATTACACTTTGATTTGATGTAGAATTCCCTTTGTGTGACTATCCCTTGGCTGCAGCTCAGCAATGCAACACTTTCTGGGAAGCCTAATATTAGCTTAAGATAAGCTTCAGGGAGCATATTTACACAGAACAAGAACTGTCCATTTTGGCCAGTATCACTTACATTTAAATCACATTAAGAAGGGATCACTTACAGTTACTGGCAGTATGAACAGGAGGAATTAATACACGCACAGAAACTCTTCTGATGGACCCCTGGCTATTGTTTTAAGACAGTCTTCAAATCCTTAAAGCCTTAATGTTATGTGTGTGCTTCAGTGTTGCCCAATCAGCAGAGGCCACATGGTTAGCATTTCCATCGAGCCCTAGAGTGAACATTTAGGTCATGTCATATTCTGGGAGTTTGTTGACAACAGTGCCGTTAACCAATTTGTCGTTTTGAATTTTGAAGTATTGCTGACATTAAGCTGGGACTGTAATTTAAAGTGATTTATTATGTATTCATTCGTTTTGTGACAATATTACCATGTTACATAAACAAATGTAGATCTTAACAATGTCTAAGAATTTCATAAATACTGCTAATCATGAGTGTTTTTAACAGTAAAAGTAGTTTCAACATGTGTCTAGCTATCGATATCAGTGTGCTGTGCCTTAAACTGCTTTTATAAAAATGTAACCACATTCACGACCCCCTCAAGTATCCATTTATCAAGTCTTCAGTCATTCTTACACATCATCACCAGCACACCAGTGCCTCAGATTAAATCTCACCCGACAGGAGGTTTGTGTGGCATTCTTCTTCTGTCTTCATGTCACTTATCTTCCTCATCATGCATGAACTAGTTGTGTGCACCATTCTCAAGAATATAACATTGAACCTTTAAAAAGAGGATTAATGTGGGTTTATTGGATAGTTCGCTCATGTTCTAAAACAGTCCATAGATGGTGAATAATTCATTCTTAACTGCAAGCAATAACATCTTCACTGCCTTTAGTCACTAAATGTTTAACCCAGTCACTACCACAATCACATGAAATATGAAGAGCACAAAAAGATAAAGTGCAGACGTGAATGCTTCTTTAGTCACCATTGGTAGTATTGCATTTGAGACTTTCACTACTCACAAGATGCACTCTTTTGTCATGAAGCATGATATTCATCTCCATCCTTTCTCCATGTTCCATCCCCCATCCCCCCACCCCACAAATCCCCCCCTTCCCAGTCCTATCAAAGCCCCATCTTCACTTTCAGCCAATCAGACGTCACCTCAGCCACCGCCACCCTCCTCTCAAAGGAGTCCAAACAGGGAAACGCCACCACTCCTCGCTCCGCACGGGCTCATGAAAAGCACAAAGCTCCCCCCAACCCAAAGACCCAGACCCTGCCCACCAAGGGACCGGCCGACCGACCCCACCTGCAGCCCATCAAATCCCTGCCTCTGCACAACCCATCCTCCCGCTCACCCTCCCCCTCTCCGCTCGTGTCACCCATCCCTCGTTTCTTCTTCCCCTCGTCTTCTGTCCTTAAGTCAGTGACTAAGAGCTTCTACCCAAACTCTGCCCACTCTGTGCCGCAGGTTACCCCCCAGGGCTCTCCGTTGCCCACGCCCTTGGGCACCCCTGTCCACCACCCTCACCACCCCTCCTCTACCCCGCCCTCCTCTTCCTCGTCCTCATCCTCCTCGCGGGCGGAGGGAGGGGGAGGGGTGGGCTCTCTGTCGCTGACCCCGCCCTCCAGTCCCGGGGGGGGAAGCGGCATGGCGGCCAGCAGCTCCGCCCACTGGAGGACCCGCCTCAATTCTTTCAAGAACAACCTGCTGGGCTCGCCGCGTTTCCATCGCCGCAAGATGCAGGGTGAGTTTGTAGGAAGGAATGTGGAGGTGTCGTGATTTTAAGGTCTCAACATTATCTGCACCAGAGTTAACTAAACTAACAAACTGTAGCTCATCAGCTTTAAGAAGTTTTTTCTACTTACACAATAGGACATATTCACTATAAGATTATCATGGCCAAATCAATAACAGTGACTATATTATTGAGATAACTATTGAAATAAAACAAACAAATACTGCTTTAAGTCATATTCATCTTTCATCTTGTCATCTTGCCTTTTATTTTGTGAAATAAATTACACTTTTGTGTGCGTGGGGTCTTTGGGGAGGGAGACAAAGCGAGAAAGAAAAAAGCAGAAATGATTAAGGAGGCGCTGGATTATTTACACATGTTTCACAGAGGTTCGGAAACCTTTCAGAACACATACCAAATCAAATTTCCCAAGCACCACTTCCCACTGCTGAATCAATTAAAGAGCCACTTTAGCTATACAGTATACAGCCTTTGCTGTTCCTCTGGCCCTGTTAATCCTAGAACCGCGGTAAAGTTTGTTTGAGGTTGGATACATTCACTCCGCTCTTAATACTCAGTTGCACAGACTGCCAGCATTTGAAGCTCATATCTAATCCAGCCCTTATTCTTTACCACAGGGCTTCCCTTAGGGACCATCAACAAATCACTGTATGAACGACACAAAGCCAATGTTATCGCCGCCGTGCTAACTGAACCATATTAGTGACATAATGCTTAAAACTTGTAGACAATTAATTAGTATGATGTGACATGAATAATTGATTCCAAATCAATGCAGCATTGTATTACTACACTGGCCAAGTAGCACACACTTTTCTTTATTGGATTTTAGTCAACTTCCTTTTTATATTAATATGTCCATTAAGGAAGAGGTGTGTCCTACTTGTCTAGTGAAGTAATTCAATGCCATTGGGTCACAGGAAATTGAAGCTAACGAAAATAAATCGAATTTTTCAACCTAAGAAATCTGAAATTCCACTTGAATATACATATAAAAGAGAATGTGGGCTAACATCCAATAAAAAGGTGTGTCCTTCTAGTTATACAACGCTGCATCGATTCAGAGTCAGAGGGTCTTTCTCAATGTCGAGGAACGCTGCTCCAGAGCCACTATTTCAAGCATACTACGTCATAGAGTGCCGCCGAAGGACTGTTCCAATGTCCAGCATACTTGGAATTCTACCGAGGCCGGCGTACTTCGTAGCGAGAAATTTCGAGGCTGCACATGTGTAGACTCCGCGGTCTTAGGGTGTTTCTCAATGTCGAGTACGCTTGCTTGGTAGCACATGTCTTCCGAGTCACTTGCTTCAGAAGCGAGGCAAGAATCCTTCCTGGCATTCGGAAAACGAAGAGTGTGCATTTGGGGAAATTGGTTCGTGTGCAAAGCATTGTGGGGATTTTAAGACCGCGGAGTCTACACATGTGCAGCCTCGACATTTTTCGCTACGAAGTACGCCGGGCTCGGTAGAATTACAGGTATGCTGGATATTGGAACAGTCCTTCGGCGGCACTCGATGACGTAGTATGCTTGAAATAGTGGCTCTGGAGCAGCTTTACTCAACATTGATAAACGGCTTTAAAATCCCCACAATGCTTTGCGCACAGACCAATTTCCAAATCTTTGGCAGAAATCGTGCTCCATTTAAGGCGGGGCTTCGCATATGACACACACCTGCACACCTGTTAGCCCATTCCACAATTCTTTGTTTTCCGAGGCTAGGAAGGGTTCTTGCCTCGCTTCTGAAGCAAGTGACTCGGAAGACATGTGCTACCAAGGAAGCGTCCTCGACATTGAGATCATTATTATTTTGGACCACACCATACTTTTCACTTATGGGCAAACTACCACAATGGTTTTCAAATGGTAATTTATTATTGGAAAGTGAAACCCTTTGGTTTAGAGCGAGGACTGGGTCTGCTGACGGTCTGTGAAACTGGGTGAGATGACCCTCTGGATCCAGGACATTATTCCGTGTATCCAACCTGAAACTAACTTCACCGCCGTAGTTCCAGATTGCTGTAGCCTAGCCTGGTAACATCTTCTCATTTTCTTTCTAGAAGTGGCGCCGCATGGCACCTCAACTGCTGACCCCTCTTCAGCAATGAAAGGTTCGTCTTTCAGGGTCGTGTTGTCAGTTGCCTCTCGACTGTATTTTTTATAGTTATTATAGTTAATCCAAAATTTAAATTTATTCTGTTTTAATCATTGACTGAAGATTTAGAATCTGACTGCGTTAAGCTAAGTTAGTTAATTTCATGCTGTGTGTCAGACATGACATCATTTCATTACTAAAACATTCAAATGATTAACAACTCATTTTTACACTTTCATTGTATTTTGATGTGTAAAAGTAAAAAATAACTGTTACTCAAAAATAATTAAATGACACATTTTCGGACTCGGGCCAGTTGGAGGGCACTTTTGGGTACGGCAAGGCTCTTCTGTACCACCAGGTAAAACAAGCTGACCAAAACAATAATATTATGTCTATTATTAGAATAATATCCATCTTTAATTTGTTTTTAGTATCATGCTATCATGATGTCGTTCTAACACTGACAAACATCCATTTTCTGTTCCAGCATACAGTGTCCTGACCTCTTTAACCGCATGGATCATATCTTAATATTTCTTTCCCTCTGGCTTCCAGTTGAAGATCATCTATTGAACTGTTAATATTAAAAGTGAGTTGTCTCTTTCAGTTCCTACATCAGAAGACATGTCCAGTCTAACACCAGAATCCAGCCCTGAGTAAGTGGAGATAAACTTGTGGAGTTGTTTTAACTCTTGAAGGCTTTGTGTTTGTGAGGTTTTTCTTTGGCTCTGTGTATTTGCTTCGACTGTATATTTTTTCTGTCTGGCTGCCAGGCTGGCTAAGAAGTCGTGGTTCGGGAACTTCATCGGCCTGGAGAAGGAGGAGCAGATCTTCGTCGTGATCAGAGACAAACCTCTGAGTTCGGTCAAAGCCGACATCGTCCACGCCTTCCTGTCTGTGAGTATTTGAGCTGGTCTGTCTTCATTCCCCTCACTATCAACACTTGTTTGTAGAGGCATGGCTCTCACTGGCTCTAAGGACTTGACACGCACTCTCATACTGTACGCATTTCTTTCACGTTTTTTTATTATTTGAATCTTGCTCACCCGTTGCACGTTTATCTATCACTTTGCTTTCACCAATGGCTCACTCTGTCTCTCTTCTCCTTACCCTCACCCTTTGTCTCCCTATACTCACGTTTGTACCCGTACCTCTCCCGCCTCGTAAGTCTGTCGGTCTCTCTGCTTCTTCTCTCTCTCCCAACCACACAGATCCCGTCGCTCAGTCACAGCGTTCTTTCACAGACCAGCTTTCGGGCCGAGTACAAGTCCTCCGCCGGCCCTTCTGTCTTCCAGAAGCCCGTCAAATTCCAGGTGGACATTTCTTTTTCCGAAGGCGAGAGGGAGCGAGAGAGGACCGAGAGGGAGGGCAGGAGGGAGACAGGAATCTACAGCGTGACGTTCACCCTCATTTCAGGCAAGTGGACCGATCATTTCATTGGGAGTTTATTCAACTCCATTCAAATTTGAAAATAAGTTTTGGTCGTACTTATTTAAAATAAAAAAAATGACATAACTAGTTTCAAACTGAGTGAGGGGTTAATTGAGAGGATCAATAACAATTGGTTTATCTAGCCTGGCTAGCTGTTTCATCCTGTGTCCAGTCTTTATGCTAAGCTAACAGGCTGTTGTCTGCCATATACATTAATCTAACTTTGATTCAGAAAGGGAACATTTAATAAAAACATGTTCACTTATTCTCTGATCCTGATGTTTTAAGGTTGTATTTTGTATAGACATTGAGACCTAATATCTGAAACTCATGACCTATTTGACAAATAAAAAAGATATCATCTGGAAATGTTAAAGTCATACTTTTAGTTCTTAAAACGTAAGCATAATATTTGTGCGTGACTCGATGCCTCTCCAGGTCCGAGTCGCAGGTTCAGACGAGTGGTGGAAACGATTCAAGCCCAACTTCTCAGCTCTCATGATCAACCCATGGCGCAAGCCCTATCTGGTGAGACTGCTTATTCACGCTTGTGCTTTCACCAGAGTAACAATATGACATTTTTTCCATGTTTGGATTTATTATTCTAGGTATGTGCAGGGGCATTTATGTGTCTTTATGTGTTTTTCTTGCCTTTTTATGTTTTGAAATATATTTTATTGACCAATACTTCATTTCCTTGTGCTTGAAACATCTCTTGGTATTTAGAGATACAGACACATATGGCCCTAAACTAACTTATTACACCATGAGCTATCTGAATATATGCAAATGTATTATCTAGAATCATTAAACATTCACTTATATTGTTGTTTGTTTAATTCGATTTCAAGGATCTTTTTCTATTCAAACCATACTCTCGAATTTTCTTGGAAATTCATCGGCTGAAGTAGTGCAGTTGATCTTTCAATAAAGGAACTGAATTTAAGGCTTACCCCCCATTTCTGTAATCAAACATTCCATTTGATCCTGCCCAGACCCATAGACACTAAAGCATGTATACGGCTGTGGTGGTGTTGGGATCAGGGGAGCACAGGTTCAAACCCCACTGCAGTCAGCATGTCGTTGTGTCCCTGAGACACTTCATCCCAAATTGCTCCTGTGGGGATTGTCCACAGTATTGAGTATGTAAGTCGCTTTGGATAAAAGCGTCTAACAAGTAACATGTAATGTATACGTCGAGAGTGACTTTCCTGTTCTCGTCTGCTGATCCCTTCCCAGATGAGAAGAACGGCCGGCCCCACGGGACCCCCACCCGCCAAAACTCGAGGCGCTCGGAGGGTGGGGGCGACAGGTGCGAGTGGGGCGACCGGGCGGACGGAGGAAGCATCGGAGGCAGCGGGGGGGTCCTGCAGCGCAGAGGCTCGGCGAAAGAGAGAACCCGACTGCTGTCCTCCAACGGAACCCAATCCCAACCGTAGGAGAGAAGTGAGTCAGCGCAGCGGGATGCCTGAACCACAGCGGGAAGAAGACGGTGTAACTTCATCTCCAAGTGTCCCTGCAAGCCATGAGCTACTCCTTTTCTTCCTTGACTAAGTTATTGAAGGTGCAAGGGTTGAGTATTTCTCTGTCACGCTTTTTTCCCCCCCCAACTCCACATTGTTTTGATCTTCTGGATCTCCAGGATTCCTACCCCTTAAATGAGAAGTGTTAAGGAATCACCCTTTTAAGGGAAAAAATATAAATGTGAATGAGCAGTTTGGTATCCCTCATAGATACAGCTTCACAGATCCAACTAGGAATTTTGAAGTGCTAATGTGCATGCCAGTTAGCAAATCAGCCTGCTAAAGGATGCTGAAATGATCAGATAGGCTAGTCTACCATATCGTCGTAATACAGTATCTGACACCAAAAAGAAGTAACAGTCTTGTGACGGTTCTCAAGATTACTCTTTAAATTAACCAGTACGCTCATATCATTATCAAGCAACATGCAGTCCATACTGAAAGAAATATAGATGTATCTCTGCAGAAGAACCCTAAGAGTTAGCAACCTGCTCCCACGTCAGTGAGGAGCTGAGCAAAAGGTCCTGATTTTCTCAGGAGAAACAACAGCCTGGAACTCCAGCGGTGTCTTCTCCTGAGCTAAAGAAAACCAACCAAGTAAGCTAAGTAAGTGAATGTGAAAATAAATATTTTTTTATTTAGTTTGTATTTATTGTTTACATATTTATTTCGAGGATGTCAGTAGCACAGTGACGGCAGTACAGACAGAAACACTCGACAGTGCCGGAGAGGGGACGTTGCTTTAAGAAGACGTTAAAGTTCAATGTTTTGATTCTTTTTGTATTTTCTTTTTACTCAGAGACAATATGAAACAATGCATCTAAGATTTTCACATTGGACCCTTGTTGCTCTGAACAAAAGTATTTTTTGATTTGAACAGAAATATGAACATAACTATATGAAGAAAAAAAAAACATTATGCGTGAATTGTTCCATGAACCTCATCCCTGCTGTCTGAGGCCAGAGTGAGAAGAGCGTTCCTGGCCTGTGGATCAAACAGACGCCATCTTTCTCGTCAAGCTTGTCTCCTATTGCCAATAGTATTTATGTACTGACTCAGAACAAAATGAAACAACAACAAAAAAAACACAAAGGAAATTCATCAATGGACATTTTCATGATGCCGGACTCTAAAGGCTTGCGATGTCAATTCCGCGTTGTGCAGGACTTTAAAATGGGAAGCAAGCAAAGAGTCTCCTCACCCCGGGATCCTCACTTCTTCAGTGTTCACCAACAAGCCAAGTAGTCCATCACTGCACCCACGCTCACCACCAGAGAGTCGCACCATCCTGCAAGCAGACGTAGCAGCTCGGACAGTCACGTATTCCTCCAGCACTCTATCAAACTAGTCGATGTTTTTCACCAGTCTTCCATACAGCACAATATGCAACAAAAGTGCAGAATGTTTTCAGAGAGACACACAGTGCTACAGTTCTGGTTATTATTTCCTTTTTTATATTTATTCACTAACGTATCCATCTATTTATTTTTTTGGTCAGGTGGTTGATTGTGTCATGTATTTGATTAGATTTAATGCCAACAAAAGCTAATACAAGTTACCTACTTCAATTCTCATTATCACTGTTTTTTGAGCATCACTGACAAGTTGCTCTCATCATACCTCTCTGATGATATTTGTTTATGTCACATCATATTTATCGCGCTTATCCCTGGTAACGTGTGTGTGTGTGTGTGTGTGCGACGGGTGGATGGCGGCTGAGTGAGAGTGAGATGAAAACTTTGCAGCAGATGCATTTTGAGTGTACAGAGTTTTAAACTGACCCAGGAATACTACATGAACTAACAGCCAAACGCTAACAGGCACATCATTTCTCTCATGCATTAAATGCTTGCTATTTGCTTCATCTCTTGCTTTTTAGCCTTGTCCCCTTTGACCTGTCTGTCTGCCTCTTCACCCGTTGTGTAGCCTTCATCACGAGAGAAACTGTACAAAGTTGTTTGCCTCACTGTCCGTGCACACTCTTTGATTACCCACCATCACCACATTCATCTTTTCTCGTCACGACGTCACCTTCACTATCATTGACCCAACTCTGGCTAAGATTGTAAACTATTCTCCATTCATAAGGGTCAGTAGAATAAGGTGTATACAAAAAAAAAGAAATGTCTGTATCATAATTTAAATATAAAAAGTGCACTATTATAACTATTGCCTGTGATAAAAAGAACAATTATGATTGAATTGATGGTCAAAATAAAGAGAGATCCACCTTATTGTTATGGTTACAATAATAAACCCTAAATTCATGTGTGTGTCTATTTAGTTTCTGGGTTAAAATGCTGTCTGTTCATTTTATGTGGCTGTTTTTTTTGGTACCACTTTACAATAAGACTACCCTTATAAAGGGTTTACGAATAGTTTGTAATTCATTTATTAATTTGGTTGTGAACACTTATAAATCATTAATAAGCTTCTTTTTATAAGACATGAGATGAACCAGTGGAACTGGACGGCTGCTTGCCAAATAGTGAGCCCACATTTATCTGTACTGCCTGAAGCCTTATTTGAAATGGCTAGTAACTCATTACATTAATGGAGAATGTGTTTTACACTTACCAATAGGCTTCACTTTGGCCCAACTTAATAAATGTTCAGTAATCTCTCTCTTTTCCTCCTCCTCCGTTGTTGTTGTTGAGAGAGATTACTAACATTTTAGTTGCAAAAGTGAGCCTTATTGTAAAGTGTATAAACACATTTTCCATTAATTAATGGAGTACTACCATTTCAAATAAGGCTTAGCAGTACAGCATAAATGTGGCGCTCACTATTTGGCAGCAGCCGGTCACAGTTGCCCTGCTTTCATCTCATGGTACTTATAAAGCTTTGTAAATGGAGTTTATAAAGTGTTCACCAACCAAATTAATAATGATTACAAACTTCGTAAACCCTTTTATAAGGGTAGTTCTTATTGTAAGTGGTACCAAAAAAACAGCCACATAAAATGAACAGACAGCAATTTAACCAGAAACTAAATAGACACACACATGAATTTAGGGTTTATTATTGTAACCTAAACAATTAAGGTGGATCTCTCTTTATTTTGACCATTCAATTTCATCCATAATTGTTCTTTTTTTAATCACAGGCAATAGTTATAATAGTGCCCACTTTTTATATTTTAAATTATGATACACGACATTTCTTTTTTGTTTGTGAATACCACCTTATTCTACTGACCCTTATGAATGGAGAATATGTTTACCAATCTTAGCCAGAGTTGGGTCAATGATAGTTGGAAGGTGACGTCGTGACTGAGAAAAGGATTGAAAGTGGTGAGGTGGGTATATCAAAGAGTGTGGCACGGACAGTGGAGGCAAACAACTTTGTACAGTTTCTCTCGTGATGAAGGCCTACAAACGCGGCTGAAGGGGCCAGACAGACAGGTCAAAGGGGACAAGGCTAAAAATGTCAATGACGATGAAGGCACAATAGGCAAAGCATTTAATGCATGAGGAGAAATGATGTGCCTTGTTAGCGTTTGGCTGTTAGTTTCATGTATAGTATTCCTGGGTCAGTTTAAAACTCTGTTACACTCAAAATTGCATCTGCGCAAAGTTTTCAATCTCACTTCACTCAGCCGCATCCACCGTCACACACACACACAACACACGTTACCCAGGGATAGCGCGATAATTATGATGTGACATAAAACAAATACATCAGAGAGGTTATGATGAGAGCAATTGTCAGTTGATGCTTCAAAAAACAGTTGATAATGAGAATGGAGTAGGGTAACTTGTATTAGCTTTGTTGGCATTAATCTAATCAAATACATGACACAATCACCCCCTGACCAAAAAAATAAATAGATGGATACGTTAGTGAATAAATAATAAAAAGGGAAATAATAACCAGAACTGTAAATCTCTCTCTTTTTTCTCCTCCTCCGTTGTTGTTGTTGAGAGAGATACTTACAGTTTTCTGGTTTTATTTTTCCTTTTATATTATCACTAACGTATATCCATCT